GAAAAAACAATGTGAAAAACATTTGATTTCAAATTATGGTGTTAATAACCTGATTTGAAATTTAGGAAGTCAAAAATTATTTTAAAAAAAATTTCTGGGAATCAAATACAACTCAGGGTAATAAATTATGCTAATCCGTTTAGTTGGGGAAAATCCCTGTAATTTTTCATGATAGTCTTCTATGTTTAATCATTCTCTATATACAGCTCGTCTTTGTCATTCAATATTTCATATTAACTTGCAAATTTTTTGTCCGCATGCTGTGAAAAAAAAATACAATGATGGGAAGGAGCAGGTTACAACAGGTGCACATTCTCTCCCCCTTCCATCCTCCACTTCGTTTTTCTCATAGTACCCTGGTCTGTAGGGGATTGATCAAGGTATTAGTAGGTTTTAGGATCATAGTTTTTACACAGTACGCATTGTAAAAATACTGAAGTCACTATGCATCTTGACTTATAGAGGTTTAGTGCTGGATATCTAACATCAAAATTTTCTTTTTTTGCAAGTGTAGATCAATTGTAACGCATGGTACAGCAGAGTGATGACAACTCCCTGGTTTTCTTATTAACCCATGATGTCATCAAAATGCACATCAAAATGACTACAAATGACTAGAAATTATTGTTAGTCATTTTGAAGCCTCAGAAAGAGACTTTCTTCTTAAGATAAAGCCTTGCTCATAAAACACTCACCACTCCAGTCTGGTCATTGACCTCCTTCATTCGTATTTTTGTTACAAATTTGGCAGAAGGTGGCTCGATAGGGTAATTGACACCACATTCCAAAATCAAAGTGTACACTCTATTTTCAAAATTAGTCTGGAAGATAAATAAAATTATGTCAAATATATTGATGTAAATCTAACACTGTATACATTAATTATACTTTTTTTACTGAGGAAGGCATTTTTTGATAACTTGTTTCTCAAACTCTGCTGGAGTTAAAAATAAAGTGCAAGAATTAGAAAATTAGCAGTGCTGTTACATGCTGCTGTGATATTGATATAAGGAAGAAAATGTTGTTTGAAATGTTTTCTATTATCATAGTGACAAAAAGTCATGATTTTGAAAAACTATTTTTTTATTTTACCCCTTTCCGACCTCTGATACTGATCTTATCAAATTTGCACAGTATTTCATAACTATGTGCAATTGTGCATACTGGATAGATTTCTGTCAGAATTATGTTTAAAGAACCCGCAAACGTAGTAATGAAAGTTGAAAAATTCAGTGCTCAATTAATTATCAGATGATCAAAAACGTGCTTACTCCTGGGGGACCTATAATCAGACATGACCAGCAGTTCAACTGCATGTCATCTGCATGGAGCAGTCCCCAGCTTATGCTTCCATCACCACATCCTTTTTCTGCCTCTTCTAACTCACGTAGTAGCTGGAAATTCCTAGGAACTGGAAGACAAAAATGAATATTGTGAGTTATATTGTCCATTGAGGATGAATGCAAGTTTTCTACCCCATTTTATTTTTTCTTGCGCAAAAACAATAAAATGAAGATTATTTGCTTTTGGAGAGACTTAACTTTTTTCACTGAGCCTGAAATATCATTACTACAGTAGTCTACTCAAGAAAGATTCATTTCCCCAAATCTGTTTTAACTTATTTCCAATATGATAACTTCAATGGTCTGTAAATCTGTTTATAAAGCAAAACTGCACATTGTAGCTTAAACATCATCATGTCACTTTAAGAAATGTATTGTATATGCTTTTTCCATATATTTTAGGTGTGCTAATAATTCTGAAACTCTAACTTTGGAAACTGGAAAGAAAACTTCAGTTTATTAAATGAAGTGATAAGCCCCTGTAAATCAGCAATTACGAGAAAGGAGAAGACATCTAAATCGGAAAACACCGTTTTGACAGAAGTAAAAATTACCTAGTTTCGAAAGAACTACTTCATTTGGTTAAACTTTAGCCTACTAGGAAAAGATGTGCTGTCATATCATTCATGATAAAATATATATTATAACCTATCATCAAATACACTCGTTATGGAGATCTAAATGGGCATTGTTTCGTATCTAAACAACTGTTAACTCAAGTGGCATCCCTTCAGGTAAAAAAGGTAACCAAATATTTTGTTAAGAATAAAATCCTGTGACATTACCTTTGTACGAGTTGCTCGCCATGTTTGACTCGCTCTGACGACCAACCCAACTATGATATTTTTTATTCAATTAAGTCTAAGGGAACTAAATGAAGAATATCAATTTTACCGTTAACCTTATGGAATTGTCTATAAAAAATATCAATTGAAACTAGTAGTTTTAATTATGCTCGCAAAAACGAGAAAACGGGTAGAGAAGGAAGTGACGTCAGTATAAACAAGATGGCGGGCACCTGCAAGTGAATTATCTTTGGTAAGTCTAAGAAACTTTTGTATGCATATTGAATGTGCTACTGTGAATGCATTTATGATTCAGTATGTATGTTTTTAGTTTTTACTCTCATATGTATGATAAAATACCGTGTCTTACGTGGAAGTACCTTACATTATGATGAGGTGCCAGTTGTCAGTGTTACTTTTCAAGAACAGTAAGCGAATTTTTAAAAAATTACTTGTGGTTATTAGTAAGTAGTACTGTACTGGTCATATATGAAACATTTTGGGGCGCACTGTGACAGTGACTTACGGTATTACGTAGGTAATGGAAAAGAAGAGATGCAGTCATTTTTTCATGAGGTAGACAACAGTTATTTAAACTTGCTCTACTACATTACACCCCATTATACTTGATTTGTGATAGCCTCAATTTAGCATTCTGAGTCATCTAGCATATGCATTCCTAACCAATGCAATGACAATAGAAAGTATTTTTAATGATACATAGGTCCTCTGGAATGTATAGAACTTTTAAGGCTGCATCAACATTGGACATGCCAAACAACTAAAAGGCACCCCCATGCAACTGCAACCTTTCATTGTTTTCATAATTTAAATGAAGCTCAAGTTATGAATGTATACCCTTGTAGTCCATGAGTGCATTCATTAAAGTGGACAAACAGATCTGCAGACCAAATATGGCAACCCACTAAAAAGTTTGTCGCTTCATTCGCAATAAGACACTGAATAGATTCCCCGCAGGGATTACGCAACAAGCATTTTTTTCGTAACATCAAAATCACACTGGTATATAACAGCACTGCCAATTTTTAAGCATTATTCTTATGCATTGACATGGTAAATACACTATATCTTAAGCCTTAACAGTGCTGCCATTTTTATTATGCAAACTGTAAATGTGTAATTACAGGTTTAGCAATCACTGCCATTGCATGTAGAACCAGATTTTTTTAAATATCTACTTAGTGCAGTTAAGTGTTAAATAGAAAGAAAGTTGCTGTTTCTTTTTTTCTTTTTTTTTATTTAAATTTCAAATCATATTACTCAGATAGTGGACTGCACTGCCTGTAATTCCAAAATTCTCTTAGAGGAGACACCCCTGCTGAGAAACTTAGAAAATCCTAATTACTTGGCATCCAATTTTCAAGAACATGCTATTTTTGAAAAAATATTTTTTTTTTTTATGTGTGGCAACAAAGTTATTGAAACTTGTAGTTGATAACTGTCAGTTTTGATATAGTTATCACATTATTTTAAATTCAGGTTGTATAGCAGTTGAAACCTGAATAGATATTTTTAACAGCAAAATAGAGCCTGGATAATGTTGATAAATAATAAATAAGGAAATACAATTGGCAGTTGTATGGTGATAGTAATGTTTAACAAAGGTAGAGAACTTTATAGTTTTTCACACACACACACACACACACACACACACACACACACACACACACACACACACACAGAGAGAGAGAGAGAGAGAGAGAAAGGGGGGTTTAGAACAAAAGACATATCTATCGCAATTTATAGAATTGTCACTGGATCTCTTCATGATATGGCTTACATTTTGTTATGTCCACGATAAACACACCCATATGACTTAACCTTAATCAGATATCACCTTTTATTAGAAGGCCACGCTATTGCTATATTGATACATACTAACTAGTACAAATCTTGTCAAGATAACCCTAATGCCTATTGATTTTAATCTGCACACATTGGAATGTAACCTTTATCTTGAATCATTCTTCTTCTTCTTTTTCTTCTAGATCTCTTTATTGAAATCTAATATTTTATTTCTTTCTGCTCTTCAGATAAATGATCAATGACTGTTTTCTGCACAGAATGCATTTTCTTTCAGATAAACTTTGCCCATAATCCATTAATAGATTGTGTTTTAGCAGCATACTAGTCCCTATACAATTACAATATTAATAGATAACGGAAACTGATTATATAAGAAACCTAATCAGATTTTCAATATCTGGGGTTTGCAATGGTGGTCATCCTGTTCATCAAATTGTCAATTATTTATAAGAAATTACGGATGGCACTTTTACATGGACTGCTCAGGCACTGAGTATACTGATTTTGTTCAATAGCGATAAGTGATGTTTGCTTTCTTAGGCTTTTATTACACAGTCAGTTTTTACTTTGATAGATGTTTTTTATATTGGTTTATAAGGAGTAATTGATCAAATTGACATTTTGATGAAATCCTTGGTTTTGTTATAGAATGATATAACTTTCTTTGTTACAGACACCAGATTCATCAGCTCTGCAATGCCATGACAAAGGATTGTACTTATTGTCAAGATTTTCACTTAGAAGAACCAGATACTGTTGCTGAGATGCTTCTACAGTTGTATATGTTTCAAACTTAAAACAAACAGATTGAATCACAGTGACAGTACTGCTGAGATAAAGCACAAGGAAAAGTTCCGAAGATGGAGGAGAAATCAGGAATGTTGTCAAAACTGAAGCAGGCATCGTCTGCTGAAGAAGAACTGAAGATTCTGCAGGCTGTCCAAGACAGGCTCCTCCCCAGTCTGACTGAGCCTCTCATCTCCGATCTAGATGCCGATGTCTGTGAGAAACAATTTCTAGAATCGGGATTCCTTGAGGATGATACTCCATTTCCAGGTCACAGTCCAGAAATGTTATATTCCAAACAAAATGACTTGAATGATTTTACATACTACCTCTTGAATCGGAGGTATGGTTGGTCAGAGCTGGAAGGGAAGCCTGGGAGCAAAGCCAGAGCGCGGCCTGCGAAGGCAAGTGTCATGGCAGGAGAAGTGAGGCACAAGGCATTACTGAATGACCTCTTGGATGACTTTATCAAATGGTGAGTACCAGTATGGACAATTTATTTTCTGTAATGTTGTTATCAAAAATCTGATCAGTTGGAGACATTAATTTGCTGTGTGCGCTTTGCCTTGCAGTGTGTGGATGTGCATGTGCGTGTGTGTGTGTGGTGCATGTATGTGTGTGCATGTATTTGTGTGTATTTTTTACATTTTAGATAATTGGTTTATTTATAATTGGAGGTAAAATTTATTCACTTTTATCATAACTCATAAGCCACACAAAGAAGGAGTTAAAAGGCATTCTAAATGCATAGATTGCTTCTTGTTGACTTTATCTGAGGACATTGAAAACTTTTAATACATAAAAATGATAGATAAATCAATATCACAAAAATTCTAGTAAACATATTCATCATCCCTTTCAAACCATGGTTGTCAGCCATCTTAACACAGTTTGAAAAGAGCGGGGTTTATGGCATGCAAGTCTCATTATATCTGGAAGTCAAGTCAATACAAATGAATGCAGTGTATGAAAAACCTCAACTTATGCATGGGTTTTTGATCTTTGCCTTTATTCAGAATTGTTACAAATTTATGGCGATTGTCCGGGAAGGATGATTGAAGGTTGGTAAATGTAGGAAAAATGCCATTTACCAAAAGATGATTTGTTAAATGTGAAATTTGGTGCCAAAATCCTCTTTTGTGTACCTTTAAGTGGCCAATAATATTTGGCATATATTTCGTCAGATCACAGCTACTAGTAAGTGGCCATCCAGTTGTAGAACTAAGGAGCTTGCAGGGGCGTAACCAGACCTTTAAAAATTGTACGCACAGATTTGTAAAATTCCCAGCAAAATGTAGACTAACGCAAGAGATGAAGGACAGCGTAATTACAGCATATGCGCCACATATCGCAGCTTAATTTCCATTAATAATAAAATCATCATTTAGTCAGAAATATTCTCGCAATTAAAAAAAGTTTCAATATTCTTATTACCCAGAACGGTATATTTATTTAAAAGGAGGCTAGCTTCGCATATGTGGAACCCCCTTCCAATAATCCTGGATCCACCTCTGAGTTGAATTAACATACGGTTTCATTCACCTTACATGTGGATGCATGGCTCCAAAAAAAACCAATTGTACGACACGACAGAGCTCTGATACATCTAAGTTTAATTATTTGTTTGTAAAAATTGCCCATGTCACCCTGTTAGTTTGGAGGGGTAAGCTGGGTCAAAATCCTTTGAAGCTTTGCAGGAAAAAAATTTCCTTTGTTTCTCTAGCTCCTTCTTAAACCTGGTGTCCAGATTTTATCTAGTGCCCCCAGGGTTGTGGGAGCTGCTCTTTGAAAATAACACTCAGGTAAAGGAAGTTTCAGTTAGATGGACAATTAAGATAGGACTTGTTAAGGTTACAGGCATTGTTTACCTAAGTTTGCAAGACCGGGGGGGGGGGGGTCAGAACAATTGTGCCTATACAATTGATACAGAGGATTTGTACATACAGGTGACTTTAATAAGCAGAGGATTTTCTTTTATATTCCGCGAAAAATACACTAAATTTATATAAAATAATATCATGGTTGGCTAAAAAATTGTACGCACAGTGCATCCGTGCGTATGCCTAGTTACGCCCATGGCTTGGTCTGTTTTGGTAGCTAGTTTACCTAGATCCTCTGAAATGCAATAGATAGACCCTTCTTAGTTTTGTCCAGAAATCTGCACTGTTGGAAATTAAATGATGCAGTCAGATAAGGGAATGGGGTAGTCCTTTGATGTTGTGTGGCTTGTCAAGTTTTTATCTTGATTGAAAAGAAAATGGCAAGTGAGTTGGTACCTTGTTGTTTACTCCCTCTTGCCTTGTATTGATTTTCGTGTAGGTATTGCTCACGTGGATTTGACACTTTAATTAGCTTACAGATATCCCGCATCTGTCACTCTGGGTGCATTTCAGTCGGCTTAGGATGGCTTAACTTACGATGAATTATCTCCGCAAACTGTGATTAATATGATTTCTTACTATAGAAATCTATAGAAATCCAGTCTTACTACATGCAGCATACTTCAATGATGCTGGCCGTGGAAAAGATTAAAAGAGAGATAAAATCCAGGCACCCCTTGGTCAGAAGTCTTAATCAGTGGTCAGTGTAGAAAGAGCATTTTTAAGCTAAGGCATTGTAACTGGATTTTGAATGAGGTTTTTGATTTATAATGGAAGGTCAAAATCTGGGTTTGTTTGTCTTAATGTTTTTATGCTGTGTCACTGCTTCTTTGTGTGAAGTAAACGAAATATTTTAACCTTTAAGAAAATTCAGAATCTTTTATTGATCATCTGTTATAAGAAACTATTCATTTTTATGTACTTGTAGCTGGATTTATTCAGATTAAAGTTGCATTTGATTTATTTTTCATGTTGTAAGTCCATTTCTTTTAATGCTATTATACAGTCAACTAAAAATGAGCTTGTCATATCTGAATGCAGGTAAATTTAACACCTTTACAGGCAGGGAGTTTTATATTATTATTTTTATTATATGCAAAAGAAAGAAAAAAAAAGTAAAAAAGAGAAATTCAAAAACTCGGTCAATATAGCAGTAGGGTTGATATATGCCCTGCAGCGGTAGTTATTCCACATATTCTGGTAGCAATCCACACACATTTGGACTGGATTGTACACACAGAGTACTTTTGTCTGAAAATTTCAGTAGCAGAGCTGCTTTGTTGTTTTATTGATTAACCCATGAGTAAATATATAGTGTAGGGTCATTTGATACCAGGTCCTCTATAGCAATCATAATGTGCTGTATAAAGATCCTTTTTTTTTTTTTTTTTTCAGAAAAATGGAAATTTTATTTTTCTAGGACATGAAAAAATCATTTTAATGCGTATGCATCTCATCAATTTCATCAAAGCAACATATCACATCTTATGAAAAAAAATGAATTTGTAGAAGTTGCTGGAGAAACTGAGAAAGTCCTCCCCCGTCCACATTGACTTAATTTATTTTTTGCATTTTCTGTTTCCATCCCTGTTGATTCTTGTGATTGTCTAGACTCTGAATCATAAGAAGAGGGGCCATTCCTATGACTGAGTCACCTTACACTCTAGTATCTAAATGTACAAGTTTTCTCTTGATCCTGCAAGGAAAAACAGTTCTGTTTTTGTTGCAATTTTCTTATTCTGCCTCTTTTGCACCATAAACAATTCAGTCTACAATGAACAGTGTCGTGTTGTATTGGTAATGCACATCGGCCTAATCTTATCGATTAAAATGCACTTGAGGTCGTCTTCACCATCATCCTCCTATTGTATTTCGGAACAGTGCAGTAGATCTGATATGACAAACTGTGTGCAGCTAGAGCTGAGAAGGAGTCAAATAAGAAACAGCAATTGTATTTATGCAGTGCAAACATCACTGTTACAGTAGTGAATAGAAAATATTTAACCAACAGAACATTGTGAACTGGATTTTTATGGTACAATGCCGACAGTTTGTCAAAAAAGGTTTTTCCTGTGAAGGATGTAATTGTTTGTGATTAATAATTGAAAGCTGGATTGAAGCAAATTTAGTGCAAATTTAGTATGTACACTTCACTTACAAAAGACAAGGCGAAGGACCTCCCAACTTTGAAAAAAAAAAAAGAACTATGACCCAGAAGTACATGTATTGAACCACCAGTTTGGCTTGTCTCATCACATCGAAGAGATTTATGTATCATCTATTACTCATTGGAGTGCTGCAGGAAGTTTTGAGACAAAAAAGGTTTGCCCCTGCTTGTGAGGAAGGGGGGGGGGTTTAATGTCAGTGAAAAGTACATGTAAGTAGGTAATATAGGGTATTATATAGGAAAGTCCTGTCTTTTTAATAGAAATATATACAACTTCTCAGTGTATATAAAATCATGTACCAATTCGTAATGCTAGTAAGTAACTGTTAATTGAACCTTTGTGTTAGTACTAAAAAGTTTGATTTATCAAATGACAAAATGGCTCCTGCATTAAATGTTTTGCATCACTGTATCGCCTTCACCACTGTTAACGTTGTCAGCCTGCCTCCAGGTGACTACAATAACAACTGACGCAACAACGTGGTTAACTGAGGTTATTACTAATTATATTCTTCCCAGGCTTTTAAAATTTGCTTTCCACCATCCATCGATTTCATCACCAGACTAACAAATTTTTTATTTGGCTTGTTAGTTTTCTGAGATCTGCTAGTGTGCATTCCCAGAGATTAGGATCGATCCAAAGATTTAGATGTAGATTGACCTAACTCCCTGAGGGTTCACGCTAAATTGCAGTCAGCCAAGCGCGTACCATAGTTAATTACCCCCTTACAGCTTTTAGTAGGCGGGACTGATGCATAAGCCGGCTAAGCTGACAGTTAGAGTATCTATTGAGACTCCCCACAGGGATAGATTGATCTAAAATCTATGGGAATGGGTTCTTAGTCAGGGTGACCAATCAGAATAGGGTGCCTAGTTAATAAAGGCACGAAGTTTGAGTGCTTCTTACTGTGTTAGGTGCAAATGTTGTCAAGTAATGCCAATTAGCAATTTCACAATTGCTATTGTCCAAGAGGAGGATGTATGAATTTTATTATGTATATTGTTAACTAGTACCCATGGCGACATGACATGTACAATATGAGCAGCTCTTATACAAAATATCACGATGTTTTCTCGTGTGACATTATACTATGCCACTTGATAATCTTTATTCTGTTGTTTATGAATATTTCATAAGATTCGATCAAACAGTTTAGAGTAACTGTTGGCTTTCATGGTTAGTCTTACAGATATGTGATATGTTGCTTTGATGAAATGCATGAGATGAAATGATGAGATGCATACGCATTAATGATTTTCTTTGTAAATAATGTCATCATTATTGATTTCAGGTACATGTGCCAGAAGATGACAAAAGCTTTGCTGGAAAGTTTGATGTACAGTATACAACAAGGTAAAACTCTCACTCTCTCTCTCTCTCTCTCTCTCTCTCTCTCAGTTATTTATGTGTTTTGTACACAAAGCACTTTCATTTTCCACGTTATAGATCTGCTTCTAAATCAAACATTTCTGGTGAATATGATATGGCGTGATACATTTGTATTCATGGTATTTGAAATCATAAGTATTTACCTAACATTTGTATTACAATCAATTTGTCATCTTTTTTTGCAGCTAGATGACATGAATATGTTATGAGATTGTCATTAATATTCTTTTCAATCCTTTTTTTTTTCACAGCTACCAATAAGCCTGTAGTCCGTAACCAAACTATAATCCATGCCATGAATTGGATCAAGTTGAACCTTGATAACTTGGAAGAGGAACACTTCACTCTAGTCAAGGTAAGATAAACCTGTAGAATTATTATATCTAGCATGCTGAAATAAGCCCATCAGTTTGAAAATTATATTAGGTTTGAAATGTTCTTTTGTCATATCTTTGATGACATCTTGTTCTGATTGACTCTTGGATCTATTATACACATTATATGTACGATGGATCCAAGGTTGGCAACATGGCTGATGTCTAGTGACATCAGACTGAAGTAAGATGTCAAACTGACATTGGAACATGTCTGTGAGCATTATAGAATATTAGTTTGGGACAAAAAAAAAAAAAGAAAAAAAACATTTGAGACTATCGTATTTAGCACTGTTGATATATTCGTAGATGCAATAATTATTGTAACTCACAAATTTAACACATCGTTGTTTCATGCATTTTATCAATTCTAGATGTGTGATTTTAGTTTCCTACAAAAAAAAGGTGAAAATATATGATAATCTGATTTGAAGCACTAGACCCTTGAATCACGTTATTCACTTCCATGCCGACTTTCAGAGGTCATATCAACAGTTATCAGCTTCTGCCTGCTGTTTCCTGCTGTATCCTATGACAATGATAAGGAAAACAGGTGATGATTTATATTACAACTTCTAAGAAGACACAATTTATTTATTTTTTTTTTCTAGGACATCATCCTACTAGGATTAACAGATGTTTGGTCAGCTATCAGGAATGCCTGTGTGGCTCGACTGAGTGGGATCATAGAACATATCACTCTGGACCAGCTCCAGTCCTTCTTCAGCAATTTAGCCGCTATTTGTAAAGGAGAGGATTCCTCATGGCAAGCAAAAGAAGGGGCCGTTATGGGTTAGTAGACTGTGTGTGTGTGTGTGTGTGTGTGTGTGTGTACGTGCGTGCGTGCATGCGTGCGTGTGTGTGATGGGTAAGTAGATTGTGTGTGTGTGTGCATGCATGCATGCGTGTGTGTGTGATGGGTAAGTAGATTGTGCGTGTGTGTGTGTATGTGTGTACGCACGTATGTGCATGCGAGCATGCATATTCAGCCAGACCATTGATCATATAACTCCAGTAATCTCCAGTCTGTATTTTAACCAACCCAAAGTATGTACAAGTCATAGAATACACTGTGGAAGATAATTATATCTTTTATCTACTTATTTCAGGTATCAATATAGTCGTGAGACGGTTTCAGTGGATTGGGTTTGACATAGAGAACAGCTCGCCACGTGACACAAAGAGTACTAGAACAGAGTATTATCTCAAGGTAAGAACAGAAACTGTTCTGAGCACTTTGGTGCTCGTTATACTGGAACAAAAATTAAAAAATTTTGCTGAACCAATATCTTTGCTTTGAAATTTTTTTGTACTTAACTTTGGGCTCACTATGGCATGCTGAATTTCAGTCAGATGCCAGACATATTGTCATTTAGTTTGAAATAGTCAAATATTTTAGTTTTTTGGGGGACTTTCTCTTTGATATTGTGCAAAACATTGATTTCATTGATGCTATCAGCTATTTTGCTTAAAGAAATTTTAATTTGTTTGAGTAAACCCTATATATATATATATATATTTTTTTTTTTGTAAATAATGAAATAGACTTCTTAATGCAGTAGCCTGTATGCAAGAACTGGAAATATTCTATAAATTATTATTATTATTATTATTATTATTATTATTATTATTATTATTATTATTATTATATACAAATAGTTTGGAAAAGAAGAGATGTCCGAGATGCCAGTATTTATCACGAGTCAGATGCACACAGTGATCTTCCCACTGCTGGCCCATCCACAGCTCAGTATCAGAGAGAATGCCACCAAAGCCTTCTCATCTTTCTTATCAAGATGTGAATTTAAGGTAATTTTCTTCCAAAGTGGCACCACAGTATTGAGCATTCAGGATGCGAGCAGCTCCCGTTTTTTTCCCGGCATCTACATTTCAAGTTGACTCGACAACATGGAATAATATTGTCAGAAAGTTTGCTCTCTTTATTATTTATTAATAATGAACACGGTATGAGATGTTTGGCCAGAAAATTATTTCTTTTCATTTTTCCATAATACAACATTTGATATACTGTTGGATAGCTTTTCTCTTCATGTATCACAATACAGTTTTAATTTAATTATAGTCTTTCTCTGTATGCAAAATTCAGAACTCTTTCTTTTATGCTTGTTTGTTTTGCATAACATTTGACAGCTTTTAAAAAAGTGTAAAGACTATTTCTCCATGATTTCTTTAACAAATAATTTTTATTTTAGGAAGCTTTGATGGCTTTCCGAGATCTTATCAAGCAACTGTGCCAGGGAATTAATCTCCCCAGTTATGAAACGGCAAACGGAAACTTGGTGAGAAGAGTTATACATGATGGTTTCATTTCATTTCATTCAATGCCGTTCATTTCACTCATCAAGTTCAAAAGTGACAAAAACCAAAAGAATCACCAAAAGAAAAATCCCTAATGAGTGGGCCTGTAATAGCAGATAACAAATGTGTCAGGTCACTTGTGCATTATTCTAAAAAGCTTGGCAGAAGTTGACTAAATCACCATGGTGATTTACTCTCTTGTCCATTTCAGCCTCTTCCTCATGCAACAGTATTAGGTTCTGGGTTCAGATTCATGGACGCATATGCTGCAGAAGGTTTGCTGGGCGTCTGTGTGTTCTTAGTGAAGGTAAGGCTAATTTAGGAGTATAGAACTGCCAAACATATATTTTTGTTTCAAATGTCAGATCCTGAATTAGTTTAGAATATTACCTTATGAACAATCTGACTATCCAACCATTAGTGGTGCTATTTTATAAAATTACTTTTTCAGATAGTGTGCACTCTGCACAATTTTTTTTACCCCATTGGGTTCTTACAGTTTAAAATGTTTGTTTCCTTGGAAAAATGTGGGGGAAATCGGAGAATATTGATGATTATCCCTGCCCTTTCTAACCTTTTCTGCTCACATCTTTATAAAAAATTCAGAGAAACTCAAGTGTGAGGAAGACTTTTTCTCCCTTTCTCTAATATTCTCTGGGGGAAAATCAGGGGAGATTGGTAATCTTATTTTTTTAACATTCTCTTGTCCCTTCCCTGTATATTGTATTTTATATTTTGTTGTTTTTTTTTCTAGCACATCCCTCCTGGGTTCCTGCTCCCAAACTGGCCCCTGTATTTCTCTACATTCAGCCTGTACCTCATGCACCCTGCCTCCACAGTGAGACAGGCAACCAGCACAATATTCAAGTACCTCGGTAAGTAGTGAGAGTTGAACCAAATGTGGGTTTGAAAAACAGGGTGCGTGGTGTGCAAAAGTTTTATCATGGCAACTTACAGGTCCATGTTATTTGTAGGAGGGGGGGGGGACAGGAATGGAAATCAAGGAGGAGTGGAAAGCATTTGCTGAATGCCTTGTCTTTAGGCAAGTAAAAAGAAAAAAAGAACCATGAACAATGTTATTGATAACACTACTAATGTATGAATACCACTCAGAAAAGCTTCTTATTTAATGTATTTACTTCTATGCAGTTGCCAAAGATAGCAGTAACCCCACTCTCCTAAAGCTGGTATTACAAAACTTGAGCACTGACTGGAAAGTCAACATGGACCTCTTACTCCAGCCCTGCAACCTTCAGCATTTCTGCCACTTTAAACCTCTCAAAACACGGGGAGAAAGAAAGGACAGCGGAGGTAGCCCAAGGTAGGAGAAGTTGAAAAAATGTGCATTTTGATAAAAAAACAGAGAAAATAAAAATACAAACAAGCTGTTGCTAGAGTAAAGTTAATGAAGTTAGGAAGTATGCGGATGGTGTTATTTGCTAATATTGCTACTACAAGAGATCTTTTCAGAATCTGAAGAACTTGGTGTCCATCTTTTATATGGAAGCCATTTTGTATTATAACAGGTCCTATGACAGCCATCCCTCATTAGGTCCGTCAAGGACTAGATCCTACTCCTGGACGTGCCCTAGAGGGCGGAGAAAAAGCATCACAAAGTTAGACGAAACTGCAAGTAAGTCAACATCCACCTTGGATGAAATTAATAATCTATCCAGATTTCTCTATAATGATTGAATCATCAGCTCTTTTGTATAAATCAGAATTGACAAAAACCAAAGATTAAGTCAATATTAAACTAAGCCATAAAAGCCTTCTTCTTGCATATAATGTGTAAATTATGTGTGTTGTGCAAGCACTCATAAGATAGAGAAATATTATATTACATTTAATGCTTTAATGTTTAATAATTGTGGTCATTTTTGTTACTGTCAAAAGTGGTCATTAGTATGTGGTCACTTTGTTATTTTATTATGCTGAATGGATACAAGGTATTAGGACCAGTGCCAGGAATTATATTTTTAAAGAAAAAATATTATTACAAGTGCTAGTAATAATTAATTCTTAAGAAAGAAACATTTTTATTTATTTATTTATTTATTTATTTATTTATTTATTTATTTTTAGATTTAAAAAAATTACTCATTTGCTTCTATTTTTTTTCTTTTTGAGAACAGTTAGTATGTATTTAGTATGGTATCACACATGCTGAACGATGATAATAGAACATAAAAGGTCTCAGCCAAAGAAGCATTTAGAACTAGACTTACTAAAAACAGATATTTCCCTCCTATTGTGTTGTAGATCTTTTGCTTTTAAGTATTCTGGCGCCATTTTCAAAAACCTGTTTGCTGATATGACTTCTCATCACAGGCTTCATGTACTAAATCTGTGTTTCAAATACCCAGGTGAATTCAGCAAAACACATTGTAATCATGAAGCCTAGATTACATTTGAAATGCGATGCCCATAAGGTGCACGTATACTGCCCGTATTATCATTTTCGTACAGCCTCTGAATGGAGGTAGACAGTGGACGTGCGAAATCGCTCCTTACGACTTCAAAAATAAAAAAAAAGAAAAAAATTTAATGCACAGTGCCCGTGTAAATATAATCTAGGCTTAAATGATAATTGGGGCCATTGTCACACAAAAAGAACTTAAGACCAAAATTTTAGCCTACTGTATTCCAGGGTACATTAGTAATAGTTGACTTACTATAAAATTAATTCAATATGGTGCCTGTTTTATAACAAGAAAGAAACGACTCAAATTTAAGACCAAGAGTTACAGCATGGTAGTCGACTTCTATGGATGTATTTCAAACATAATTACACAAAATTTTAAGTCTAGAAATTGAGACCAAATTTGGGGCTTAAGTTCTTACATGCAATGGGTACCATAGGTGTTGATGGCACTATGAAAGCAGTCAGGTGGCGGAAGTTAAAAAAAGAAACATTTATATTCAGCCATTTTTGTTCAACTTCTCTACACAGGCATTGCAGAGCACGTGGAGACCCATACTCCAAGTATAATGGATGGTAATATATGGCAATGTTATTATGTTCAATGTAGACTTTGTGTGCTACATAGCTCTTCTTATTAACAGCACAGAATACACCACTTTTATGTACATTTATTGACCTTCAGAACAAATTTTGAAGGTCAACTTGAAGGTCATCTTTACTTTGGATCCAAATTTTGAAAGTCAGCAAAAGGTCAATTTTCCTTGAGATCGAATTTTGAGGTCAACAAAAAGGTCATCTTACCTTGTTCATCTTCATAAAAACTTAAAGTATACAAGCTTTAAGCCACCTTCTTCCTAATCTGAAATCATATAGACTTAATTCTTAAATAAATATTTTGGAAAATAATCTGGAAACTAAATTTAAAAAACAACATATGTATGATCAGTCACAATGACTCTTCAGATTTAAGAATATATTGAAAATATAAGAACATTTGTGATATGCTAACAAGTTTTGATCAATGGGTGAAGGGAAACAGCTTTGGAGGATGAATTATAAAACTAAATGTTTCTTTTACTAACATATGTGGGATTTGCTTGTGATTTTGGTAACTGTTTATGGTGATGGGTGTTTGCCAAAGTTTTTACTTGTAAATGTGCCTCAGCACTTTTATATAACATTTTCTTTTGGATGGCAAAATATCTAATTTGAGATGAATTCTCCTGCGCAATTATTCTTTTACTGGTTACTGTACAATGTTCATGCATAAACTTTTAGACAAAATTTTCTCAAAAGATTTTTAGGTAATGGCTGTCTAAAATGATGTTGGTGTTGTTTTATGTGTTGTAGTCTTGTCAGTGTAAATGGCAGTGGATTTTTTAAATAGAAGAGAATAAGTGTTGGTGCTAAACTTTCCATGACATTTTATATGGATTGCACTTAAGATAATTTCCCTTATTGCACAGCTAAATGTTAACTACATCAAATTCACTCATTCAAAACACTGTTGAAAATGCATTTATTTAATCTTCCATATTTTTTGTTTTGTTTTATTTTTCATCATCTCTCATCATCATAAGCCTCCATACATGATCTTATATTTTAATTCTTTTTCACAGTAATTGAAAATTGAATGTTTAAAATACAGCATAATTAGGTCATGTAATAAATGAACAATCATATACTTTAAGTATGATACACAGTTGTCTCTCACTAGCCGTTAATTATTGTTGTCCTAGATGCTAGTTGTTCTTATGATGTTGCTCTGTGTAGATTAGTGTTGGGATGCAGGCCCGTAGCCAGGGGGGTTCGGGGGGTTTGAAAGAACCGCCCCTTTTGCTGGGAAAAGGTCCACTCTGGGTAAAATTTGATCTAGGTACATGAAGTTTTCATGGGAAAAGGTCCACTTTTTTAGAAAAAGAACCCCCCTTTTGAGATTGCTGGCTACGGGCCTGGGATGGCATTTCTCTTGGGCAATTTATAGATCTGCAACTGTCGTATTAAGGTCATTATGTATCGATATTATAAATGTGTATTTTTAAGCATGGAATGTTTTTGCACAATGGTACCTTTTTGTGGAAAGCACTATTTTAACAGAGTGACATATGCATTTTTTTTTAAATTTTGTAGTATTTCATATACACTTTTTCTCTGTTCTATATATAATCATGTTTGATATAAAAAAAACACTCTGATTAAATTTCTCTCTCAAGTTCTATCAGCTGTGTTTTGCATGGGCTTGATATAAGATTACTGCCCAAATATGTGCAATGTTTTCAAACCAAATGGATGTTTTGACTTTGGAATGTTTCTGCCTAGCTTTTCAATTGCCTGCATTTAGAGTACCTTGGTTATAGATATATGTGTGTGTATGAAATGGATATATAAAGTCAGCTAAATAGGTATAGAAAATCTACTAATTTGATGTTGAATTTGCTAGGTGTAAAGTAGATTTGAAAAGTTGATTTGAACAGAGTGATGAGCTTGCTATTTTTTAAATGCAGATGCAAGTTCCTGGCAACAGCAGATTTATTTTGAGGACGTTAAGTTGTCACATAATTAAGTACATAAAAGTAACATTATTATATGGTTTAATTTTTGTCAATCACTTTCAGTGAATTCTATTCCTCTGTCATATATTGCAATTTTATACACTTCTCTTTCATTTGGCCAATCATTTTCATTTGTCCACTTCAACTGAATATGGTTTACTTCAATTTTACCACCTCCATTTTCATCATTTTCACTTTCATTTTCACTACTTTCACTTTCATTTTCACCACTTTCGCTTTCAGGTGAAGCCACTCTTGCAGAGACATGGGAATGGAGGGAAGGCAGGCTGTTTGCATATGAACTCATCTTTAGGTTCCTCATTAAGAACCATTGGTTATACACCTTTGGTTTGGTATCACAGCAGTCGGTGCCCAGGCTACCACATGGACAGTCTATAGATGAAGGCAATGACCACAAGTAAGTGTGAACTTTTTTTCAAGATTTGTGTAATTTTTTAATATTAATTATCTATTTATTCAATTATGTATTTCATTTTTTCTAAATTGATTTGAGCTTGGTTACATGAATATGATATTATTCATTTATTACTTTTTTAAAAATTGAGAATATTCAAATTGTACCTATATCTTTATTATACATAGCCAATAGTTTAAAGATTTTTTTTTTATTTTCTTCCATGTTTTAAGAGAATAGGTATTTAAAAATTAATTTCAATAGAAATTTTTCTTATGTCTTTACAGTAGTTGGAAATTTTTTCATTTCAAATTATTAGATGAATTAAATTTCCACTTTCAGGTCTCCTCGAGACAGTAAGCATGCTAAGCTCCAGCACAGCCAAAGTTATGGTGGTCAGGCTCTGAGGAACATGATGCCAAGGTCACCAGGAAGTCCAGATAGTGGGAGCTCTGGGGTGAGTATGGGTAGGAAGTGCCCTTTGTGACAGTGTGTTAGGTGAGAAAGTGTGTTGGTTGTGATAGTGTGTTAGGTGAGACAGTGTGTAGGATGAGACAGTGTGTTAGGTGAGACAGTGTGTTGGTTGTGATAGTGCTAGTGTGACAGTGTGTTAGATGTGACAGTGTGTTAGTAAGACTGTTACATGTGACAGTGTGTATTAGGCATAACAATGTGCTTAGTATGGCAGTGTGTCTAGTGATAATTTATACATAAAATGAAGTGTTACTTGCATCTTACCAGTTCGATAAACATAGGGCCATTTTGTATTGCATTTACATAAATAAAGAAAAAATCTCACTGCACACACTGACAATCTTGGGTACTTTTCCTAATAACAACTGATTTTCAGGTCCATTTCAAAATCATCTTAAACAATAACTCAGAAAGGAATTTTAAATTTTTTTGTGTTAAAAAGCTAGCATAATACATCTAAGATTGTTTCTAATTACATGAAAATGCAGTGATATTTTGGATTGTCTGGTGATGAAATATAGTGATAAGCTGGTGTTAAATTGTCCTATAAAGAACTTATTTCCTGACCCAGGACTCACTTTTACCATTCAACATAATTGCTAACCTCCACAATTTAATATAAACTCGAAAAAACAATAACCATCTTTGCATACTATATGCATAAGTTTTGAACATACTAAATCATTTCATAGAATGTTTTTGCCTTTGTTGAAGTGTGTTAACAACAAATATTAACATTCAGGGCCCAGTTTTATAAAGGACGTTTAGCACTAACCAGTGTTTAACTCTAACCAGACCTAAATAGTCTGTTAGTAAACTGACCTTTAAATAATTATTTAATCCAGTTAAACACTGGCCAGTTAACTAATTGGCTGTTTTCCGTCAGAAGACTGTATATAAAACACATTTTAACCATCTTTTAGTTAATGGGTGTTAGGAGAATTTATCCACTGGTTAGGCTTATCCACTGGTTAGTGCTAAACGTCCTTTATAAAACTGGGCCCAGACTGTTAACAACTTGCACTCTTCACTGCAGACAAGTACAAAGCATGGTCACAGCTATGCAGGAACCACAATGGATAGTCTGTTTGTTCAGTTGCCTAGAAAGGGCAAAAAGGTAGGGGGCGCCACAGTACAGGTGCCTGTTATTCAAAAGGGTGCTTCTCCTTGGAGTATCAAGGATGAATATAGCGTGATTTCCTTAGTTTGACCTACAGTCCTTTTTGAAGTGTTTTTGTGCATTATCTGGTGTGAAAAAATGTTTTTAATAGTAATTATAATAGTAACCAACTCTGTTAAATGAAACAGTCTGGCATTCTTTGCCATTTTGAAACAATCTTTTACCAATTTTTGGTATAAATTATTTTTGTTCCAAAGTGTTAAGGGGTGTCTTTAAGTTCATATTTATGTCTTACAGTGTAGTAGGTTTTTCCCTTGGTTGCTTATTGACCAAAAAATACCAAGTTCATCTGCATAATGGTCTAGCAATGCATTAGCAAATGCCTCTTTGATTCACATTTTATTTTTAACAATTGTAAAAACAAAGGTTATACAGCATTTCTCACTGTTCTGATCTTCACCTCATCTCTGACCTTGACCTTGTTTTAACATTGTCCACAAATTTGAGCTTAAATCAGCTGTTCCTTTGTGCAAGTCTGTATTTGGCCTTGATGCCAGATGTGACCTTACTACCCTGTTTCCTACCTCATTCCCAGCAATGAACTTTCCCATGCTTACCTTGACATTTCTTACAGTCTTTCTCAAAGAACCTTGCCCTTTATTATAAAGCTGACTGAAGCCTTGTTTTTCACCAAAAGTTAAACTCATTATAGTATAGTATGTCTGCTTGATTTCTTCGTGAAATCTCAATCTCAGTAACTGTTGAAGTAAGTATTACTGGTTGCTTCGACTCATTCTGTCACTTTCAGGTGTGCTCATTTCATTTACTCATTTACAGTGTTTAATTCTATATTCTGTTAACCTAAAGAAAAAATCAAATTAATTGCAAGTTTAATATTATAAATCAGGTAATTAAGTGAAATGTATATAATCATGACTTAACAAGTTTATGTAGAGAGTGTGAAAAAAAATCAATATAATTATTTTTCAACAGTCAGCGATAAAATGCAGTACAAGCAGTCTTCAGTTTCAAATTGATAAATTATGAAGCATATGCCATTTTTTTACAGGAGTGCAATACAGTAGCCAATGAAGTGGATGTAGATATCCGTAGTGAGAGTCCTCTATCCACATCTGGCTCCAGTGCAGGAAGACCACCAGCTCCAGTAAGTGTGCGTGTGTGTGGGTGCGTGCATGTGAGTGTGTGTGTGAGCGTACATGGGTACACATGCATGAGTGTGTGTTTATTAAGTATGTGATTCTTTAAGTGTATGTTGGTGCTTGCAATTGTACTCATCAGTGTGTTTGTGTAGATATGAATACCAGTGTTTGTGTGCGTGTGTGTGGGCATGCGTGTGTATGTATGGCTGTGTGTTTGCATATGTGTGTGTTTGTCTGTTTCTCTGTGTATCGTCTGTAAAAAGTGACATATATTGTAGTGTATATGGGGATTATAACTAGAAGGGCTCATTCACAATTAAACTCATTCTGTGTAGATCGATCCAACAATCTGTTACATTGCAAAGTTGAATCGATCCACATAAAACAACAGTTTTGTTGAAAGTGAGCCTTATCTCTTAAATTACACATTAATGGATCTATAAACATACCCCATAACATCCTCCCTTGCAAATCCTCCATGTCAAATAACATAATAATGTTAATTCTACTCGTGCATGCACTCTTTTCCTTATCCTCTGTCATTTCTCCCCTCCAGCCACTGCGTAGGGTAATGTGGGCAAAGGTAGTGTATGCACTCACTGTTTGATGAAGGCAACAATTACAACTAGATGGTGTCAGTCGTACATGTCACTCTGCTTCATCGTCTTTTGAAATTTTTTTTTTTTGTTTTTGTGTTAGTTACGATGTTGGCATACTGTCCTTATTTATAGTAAGGAAAGATGTGAGGCTTAATATGTTTTGCAATTTGTCTTTCTTTAATTATAGTTATTAATATTTTTGTTATTTATTGTATTTTATAATTTAAATTGACCACATTTTCTTTTGCCATTTTTTGTTTTAATGCTTTTTATTTCACTTTTTGGCTTCAAATTTGAAAATTCTATCAGCCTGGTTGTATTGTTTTTAAAAACACTTCTGTCATCTGTGCTTTCATCCCAAAAAAATATTTGGTATTCTGCAAGCTGAGAATTCTCTCAGCCCTAAAGTTAAAGACCTTGGTGTTATAAATAGGGGCAATTTTCTAGAGGTGGACGTAAGTCTTGTGATTAATATCCTTCAGTAGATCCTTTTAGACCATAATCCATCCTATGTCATATATATAGCAAGGGCTGGTATGGTTTGCAATTGAGAGATAGAGGTTTTTGTTTTCTTAAATGTTTTCAGTTTCTTTTCAAATAGTTAGTAGTCATGTCTTGAAATATGTTGCATCCTTAATAGAAAATACAAGTAATGCAAAGATTTCCCTTGCTGAATATACTAAAATATAAATTCAAGAAATAAAAGAAGTGATGTTTGCTCCTCACCTTTCCCATTGAGTATATTCAAAGTTTGGAATTTGGTTGAGTAGTGGTCGGTCCATGTAAGTAGAAGAAGTGTGTCAGTAGTGCCCAATCTTAAGAATATAACTTAAAGAGGAGACATATGGGGATGAAGTATGTTCTCTGTATTGACACTGTTTTAATATTGGATTGTAATATTTTATTGTGATTATGGAAGCCAGAAAAGATATTTCACTGTAAGAATGTACCTGTGCAGAAACAGATAAAGCTGTATCAGGTATGAATATACTCTAGGGGGCCCAAAACTGTCCTTTTCATTTTACTGTAAAATGTTTTGCAGTTGTTTGATTGACGGTCATTGTCGTTGCAGCAACGTGGTCAAACAGTAGGCAACTTCTATGTCCCTCATGTACAGACAGAGCCACCTGGTGGCCAGATTAGAGCCAGGTAAGAATTGCAACATTATAACTTTAACAATACTCAATAGAGTCCGACCGATATGTTATAGAGACAAAGAGTGATCCCAGTATCATTGTTATGTCTGAATTTCCCTGATGATTTTAATATGAAAACTAATGGGTTGATAGCTCAGCTTTAAATGTAAGTTAAGGTACCATGCTCTAATATCTTGTTTGCATACTTCTTCTGGAGCGCATTCACATCGAGAAGAGCCAAGGCTCAACAAGGCCAAGACCTAAATATGGTGACGTACATAAAAGGAAAACAGCCTAACCCTTTAATGGTCTCTCAATGAATGCCATTGAATGTCATTGAGAGACCATTAAAGGATTTGGCGTTTTTTCTTTCATGTACGTCCGCCTTTTTTAGGTCTCGACCTTATTGAGCCTCGGCTCTTCTCGATGTGAATGCACTCCTGTACTATCAATTACTAGTAAAAATACATCACATGTTGTCTCCTTACGCTCATATCTCACATTTTGTGTTTTCTTTCAATAGGTCAGGCAGCATAGAGCATCACTTGACGTGCCCATCATTACGAAGCCTGGTGCACCAGTACTCGTATTACGTTAAACCAAATGTCCCATTCCGTCCCCCGGGAACACTGTCTGGACCACAGGCCTCATCACTTCTCACACACACACGGGTTATCGACAAGAGAGTAAGAAGACTGTCACTCTTAAATGGCATTTGATTTTGATTTTTAATTCATTTTCTGGCATTTTACAGATGTATGCATTTTGAAAATTTAATCATTTTGAAGTTTCTGTATTATAAAAATGAAAGACCAACTTACCGGGTATAGTTTTAGAATGAATAATCAATATTCAGTAATTACTCCTTTTTTTAATGGGGAAGTTTGCAGATATTGAATTTTTTATGTCAGAAATTCTTAAAACTAGAATAATACTTTTTTAATGTGTGAAAGAAATTTAAAACAGGCATACAGTAAAAGCATCACAAATGCTTTATAGAAATATATATGTAAAGATTATTTTCCCCATTGAAAAAATCCAATCATTGATGTAGTTATTTGAGTTTGTCACTTAGTTTTGACCTCATATTGATTGGGGATGCAATATATTAATCATTGGCTTTTATATGATCCTATAGTTTTATTGCTGATTTTTCTCATTCCTTTACTGTATCTCCCATAATTCAATAATTCCAGGCCAAGAAGGAGGCACCTAGAAGGCCCAGTAAAGAAGAAGTTGGTCTGATTCCAAATAAAGACCAGAATATGCAGAGGTCATCCCTGTGTCCCTCTCCCCTGAGGTAAGACCATTGACCTCTATGTGTCAGTGTGTCGACGTAATTTTTTTTATAAATATGGAGAGATGGCTTATGTCATTTATGCTCACTCCCAACTCTAATTTGTTGATAATTTTTAAGAGTACTTCTTAGTTGTGTGATTTTTTTATTATTACTTTAAATTAATTTTTTTTAATATTGCGCCAAAAATTTGTTATTTGCATATATTAGGTAGACCTGTGACAGGCAATTTGGTGGGGGCTGTGTCCTACAATTTTCTACTAATCTACTGACCCTAAGCAGAAATAAAGTGGTCAGTAACCAACCAGATTTACAAGATTTTACTTTCCTTGATTCAATTTTGACTAACACATGACTCGGGGGGCCAGAAGTTAGCATCACATACTTCGTTACTCATATTTTGTATATTTGTATTCACACCAGCACTGCCACTGACCAGGGCTTTCCAGATGACCGGGAGCCAGCTTGGCTCTCCAACCTAGAACTGAAGCCATTGTCCACTCTGTTGAAGAACATGTTGTATCAGACTGTGGAATGTCTGGCTGACACCCGCTGGGAGCTCAGGAGGATGGGACAGCAGGTATGGGTGGGATTGGAGGGGGAGGAGGGTGGGTGGGGGGTAGGGAGCAGGGCCCCGTAACTCGAAAGCATGGCGTATTGCAAATAGTGATATCACATAGAGGCTACAGTGTATTATATGTGGCGAGTTATGGAATCTAGATGCTTACGCTCGGCCGCAGTGCGTGATGCTTTCGAGTTACAGGGCTCAGGAAGGGGATTGGGTTAGAAAGAAGGGGTTGGGTAAAAAGGGTAGTTAATTTAAAGCTGGCTGCTATATATTTTGGGGACCAGGAAGGGAATTGTTTTAGATAAAAGGGGTTGGGTGAAAAGAGTATTTAATTAAGAGCTGGCTTCTACATATTTTTCCCACTTGTCAAGTTTGGTATATGGCAAGGTCAAAGTCCTGGTAATGATAAAAGACAGACTAGAACATACTTGGTGAGTTAAAATGTCCACCAGAGCATAATCTGTACCCTGTAAACTATTGCCCATAAGTCATCATTGCACATGGCAGATTATTTCAGGGATTACAATAAACTTTTATTTTCATACAAGTAGCACTGATTTGAGATTCATTGAGGATGGAGGGAAAATGATTCACGGCAAAAATTCAGGGATCTCTTCTCACCTTTTTTTCAGGTGCTCCCTTGTGTAGTCGAGGTGATAAGGTGGTATGACATGGCAATACTTGAGGAGTTATGGAACGAACATCTCACCCCCAACACCACTCTACTCTGCTATGGTGCCTGCATTGCTTTTAAATATTCCTTGTCTCATGCTGCCAAACTGGCCCCTATGTTATCTGATCCACCAGTCACATGGCAGGTTTGTATGCAATTTGAGGGCATGCTGTTTCATTGTATTAATGCTTCATACAAAATATCAGATCAATAAGAAATTGCATAGAAAAAGCAGTCAGCCTTTATTTTTTTTAATTAATCAATTTTTTTTTAATTTTTGGATTTTTTAAAAGATCATTACACTCTCTCACTCTCATTCACATAATTTTTTTGGGCAAAGTAATTATTCTTGATAGAGAAGATTAAATTATCTGTATATTCTATCTTTGGATTTGTTTAACAATAGACTTAACAGATTAAAATTAGCAAATTAACTTTTCGATGTTTCATTTTTTAGGATTCAGAAACCTGCAAGCGAACAGTTCATGCCATCACCACCTCCGTCACTGCTCATCTGGCGCTACGTGTCACATGTGCCAACAGTCTTCTCCATCGCCACTGTTTTGATAGGCTGTCCCTAGTTGCCATGGAGATACTGATGTTGGTGCACACACACTTTACCTTACCAGCTGATCAGGTGTGTACTTTGAATGATTTTATAATACTTATAATAATAATAGTTATTAAGACTTAAGTGTTATAACAGTGAAGATGATGATGATGATATTCATTTATTGCACCCTAAATAAGTTGGAATGTACAATGTTAAGTTTATTTGTGCCTTTTCTTAGCCTGATATCCTTAATGTGTTGATAAAGTCTCAGTCTCATTTTTATTTTAGTGCTTATGAGCGAAAAACATAGTACACTTATGTAAAATATAAATAAAACAGTATATACCAAAATATAAGTGTTAAATAAAAGGTGTCTAGAATTTGTGATCAGAAGAAATACTGAAAACCATCGTTTCAGAAATCTAGAGAGGTTCGTACCATAGTGAACTTCTGCCAGCAGATGTTCCTCCACGCACACTCTGACAGGAAGCTGGGGACAGATCTGGCCAAGGTGGTTCAACCTGTCACCTTTGTCACCCCACTGGACGGGTTCCTCAGGTACAAGGATAAAGAATTAGAATTAAAACTTATTTTTTATATGAATTGCTTTAAACCATGACTTACATATATTGTATGGTCAAGTAGTACACTTAGATGACAAGGTATATAATGATATATATATATATAAGGGTAAGTAGTATAACAACAGATAATATGACAACTTTTGGATGGATTCCTAACTTAGATAAAGAATTTTATTGATTTTAACCATGATAACATACATGGTGTGATGAAGCTATAGACATAGAAGACTGTATAATGATATCTTAAGGGGAACCTAGTATTATTACAAATAAAATATATAAAGTGAGGCATTACAGTTTAATCTTAAATAGTTTCATCATTTTACATTAGAATCTTGGATACTTATTCAATACCTAAACATTTTATTTTTTTCTTCAGTTTCTCCCCAAGAGAAGAGAAGGTCCAGCACTGTGCTAAGCAGGTGGAGAAGCATGTGCTGTCTGAGCTGCAGCAGGTGTTGGTGCCCTTCCTCAAGGTCACCAAGGTCACAGATATCCTGAGCTTACTTCCTGTCACTGTGTTCTATATAGGAGAATATGTTGATGACGAGAAGGTGGCTAATACAGTTTTGCAATGGTAAGTATTTACCCTGATTATCAGGTTGTAAATTGTTACTACACAGAAGAATATGTTGACGATGAGAAGGTGGCTAATATAGTTTTGCAATGGTAATTACTGGTAAGTGAGCAAATGTTACCCTGTTGATCACAGTGTTAATTATAACCTATTCCACCAAATGGCATATTTTGTGATTAAGTAATATAGGAAATGAAATATACACTGAACTTTATGACTTCAAATTTATAATAATGTTAAAATAACATTTCTCTAAACACGACTTGTTATGCTTTTTTTTTAAGTGTTCAGACAAAAATCTTGCTGAAATGTTTTATTTATTTTTTATTGATTGTTTCATTATTGATAAAATTTTAGTAAGATCTCACATTTCTGTATGTTTGGCATACAATGCTTGAGGACAAAGTCTGCCAGGACTCAGTACACCTAAATTAAACAAGTTGCTTTCAAGTATTTTTATTTACAAAGTCATTTTTATCATTTAGTGTCCAAATCATGACTACAAACCTGATAGAGCAGGTCAGACAAGAAGGACTGAACGAGGACAGGGCAGTGGAGGTGAACAGATATACAGGCTGGGCTCTGCAGGAGATTGCCAGCTTGGTGTCATCAAGGGTGAGTCCCCATTCGTTTTCCAGCCTCAGTTTGAGCAAGAGGTTCGCAGTGTGATTATGGTGAAAATGAGTCTTGTTTTGTACCATTTGAGATTAACATTAAGCTGGTATTGGTTGTTTTTTGTTTTTTTTTGGAGTAAAATGTCACAACTGTAGATATCTTTTATCTTTAGTTATTACTTTTGTAAAATATTTTGATAACTTGTTGATGATAATATAACTTTAAGGATCTGAGTTATATGCCTTTTTAAAAAATGATAACATAACCTTCCGATTTCCTCCTCTTAACTAAGAAAAAATCCTTAATGTTAAAATAGATCTCTAAAATGATAACCCAAGTACTAAATGTCTTTCAGAGTACGGAGCTCCACATTTTGCGCCACTTGTTGGAGTTACATACCAGTTTGAATAAGTTTGCCTCGGGTCCTCAACATCTCAAGTCCTTGTTCCAGGCTGTTTGTTCCCGGATATCCATGGTGAGGCCATTATAGTGTTTGGTAGTCTCTTTCTTTCTTTCTTTCTTTTCTAAATTTCTTTTTTACTTTCTTTTAGATTTTTATATTTTATTTAGTCATTTTGATAATAATTTCAGACAGAATTGTATTAAAACTGTCTCGGAGCTTTTTAGTGTAATTTTTGTAAATTTTGTTGCCTACAGCATTATTCTGTGAGAGTTGTGCCAGATCACCCTGGGTTTCAGAGGTAGTTGTAATCTGCAGAGGCGTGATGATCATGATAGTAACCTCTGGAACACAGGGCATCCTAGAAAGGACAGACGTGATGATTAACTATCTGTTTTTATTCCCAGGTTGACACATCAAAGCCAAATTTTCCTGCCCATGAGAATCTCGTCATCTTATCCAATGATATAGCCTCTCCTGTTCCCTTCACTGACAAAGTGGAAGATGACACAGACTCTGAGGAAGAGGAAACCAAGCTCTTGGGTAAGTTCACAGTAGGAATTCTAGAATGGTAGTTGGTCTAAACTTTTAGACTGGGTTCCCATAAATGTATCTTACAAGTAGGATCGATCTAACGCGGATGGGATTCTTGCTAAATTGCATTCAATTTAAGTGGCTTAAATGTCTGTCAAACCCACTGAAGTTGCTAGGGGGGTAATTAAGTTTCGTGCACACTTTAACTGAATGCAACTTAAAGAGAATCCCCTTGGAGATAGATCGATCCTGCTAGCATGATGGGGTTATGGGAATGGTCCCTTGGAATATAATTTTAGTCTGCATTGTCCCAAAGTCTGGCAGTGCAGACACTCAGGAAGTTGCAATATATCTGTGCATAAAGAAATTTGTGATACTAAATTGGAAAGCAATGTTACTGTTTTGCTTTAAATTCACAGGGATTAATTTTTTCATTAAAATGAAGTTCGATAATGGGCCAGATCAAATTAATTCTTATATTTTTTATTAAATTTTTGGTAAATAAATTTCCCTTTTTTCACTTGAAGCCGAGACAGTGTCGGACACCATATTGCAAGAATCCCTCATTCTCAATGGCAGCAACAACAGCGGAGGTCAGCTTTCTGGCCGTCAGAGCGCCATGAGTGGGTGTAGTGTGCCCTCTGGTGGCCGTCAGAGTGCCATGAGTGCAATAAGTGGTGGCTCAGTAGAGGGCAGCAGTTGTCGTCTGATGTCACAGATGTCAAATCCTTCAGATGCTGGGTCTGATTGGGACAGCTGGAGTGAAGATGAAGAGGTAGATTTGGCTTTTTTTTGTTTTTAAGATATCCTGATATAGGTTCAGATCTGTTGTGTGTGTTGTCTGCATATTAAAATCTCCATAAATGAATGAGTTAGGTTAGGCACTTATCCAGACGTGAGCATTTTGGCGGCATCACAAATTTCTGAGATTTTTACTTCAGTTTTGATGGGATCTAAGGTGACCACTGCCCCTCAGCCAATAAAATTTTCAGATCGGTGATAATTGCTGGGGATGTTTTTTTTAAGTCCAGTTCCATGTCTGTTATACTAAAAGTGAACATATTTAAAACGCAGAAGTAAGCATTGCATGGAATATTAAGCTTGTGGGTAAATTTTGAAAAACATATTTAAAAAGTTATTTCATTGTCTTATTCACTGCAAGTGAATGTATGAATTAATTCTAGCTTCATGAATGGTGTTATGACTTTGGCACCCACTGGAAAAAATGTTATTTTAGCTGTAGTCAGATACTGGGGAAGGTATTGTAATTGTTGAATGGCTAATGGAAACCAAAATTCATCTCGATGACCTGATGGATATTTTCTATATATATATCATTGAGATTTTAATTTGTCTTTTAGGATCAGCCTGTTCTGTATAGTTTGTTCTCCGAGTTCCTGGACAATCTACATAAGCAGTACAGTAAACTGCCTATTGAGGGTGAGCTCCTCTCTCTCTCTCTCTCTCTCCCTCTCTCTCATTATATTTTTAAGATTTTTAAAAAATACAAACACTTTCTTTGATATGTTACTTTTTTTACTTTTTTTATGAATTTTGTTTTTAAAATGCAAATCATTTTAATACAAAATGCACACTTGATTTTTTTCAGAGGACAAAACATCTACATTTGCTGCTGAATTGAGAAAAGTTTCAGAGAAGGACAGGAAGCTTCTTAAAGGCATCATGGGTAAAAGCTGAGGCATGCTGGGAGATTGCCCAGTGGTTTATGACCCACTTCTTGTGGATAGGAAGACAATAGTTCTTTCAGCTGTGCCAAATCCAATGCCGATGACAATGCTAGTATATGTCAATGACAGTCACAGTCTTAACAGCAGGGGTTTATTTCATAAAAGAACTTTAAACAGAACAATTGCCTTTTTATATTTTGGTCAATTTATATCCAGTATACAACTGCAATACATGGTCTAAAATTATAGTCCTTTTTTGTTACAAAAAATTCCCTGTGGGAGAACTTCAATTGGACAACTGCTAGAAAATGTGAGATAAAATAGACTAAATTTTTGGTTTTTTGGTCTACGGTTGTTTTATGAAATTGCCTCCAAAAGCTGTTAACATGCAGCTGAAGACGTGCATTGATAGTAAGAGGACTTAGTTATTGCTAGAAAAGGCATATCAAGCAAAAAGATGCCAACTTAAGTAAATTGAAGTAGATTGTGTGGACATGTCATTTAAACTTTGAAATTTTCCCAGATTTTGGGCATCATGCATTTTGTCTTTTGATAAGTTATAATAGTTATATACATATAATGATGTGCAAGTTATTCATTTAATTTTTTAAAATAAATTTAAATGATAATGTTATATTTCCATCATGTTTATGATGTGGTGTTCATCAGCACCAGAAAATATGTATCCTCTCCATTCATAATTAATCTTTTTTATATTAAATTGTTAGACTTGATCATCTGTGAATCTCTCTAGACTCAGGGATGAGTTACAGGTAGTAAAAGTAGCAGAATGTTGAAAAAGAAGCTGTCAGGCTTTGTACCGTCCCAACAAGCTTCATGTCATACCTCAGAGAGACCAAATGTCTCAGTCATATAGGGAAAGGGCTGGTTTCACTTCAGACTGAAAGTTGGTCTGAACTCTGAGATCAATATGGTGATTAATGTGCAGTGGTTCTTTAAAATAGAATAGACATCAGTCCAATATGTTCACCATTCTTTCCTTGTGATAAAACCTGGATGATATTTATTTTAATTGGACAACTGCTGATTAATCTTGGGATGTAGTAGATTAAAATTTGGTCTAAAATCTTATTTTTGTGACATGGGCCCACCATGTTGTGTTTGTTGTGATTGGTTTTAACTTGTTTTTAATATCATACAAGGATGGAACTAAAGCCATCTTAAAATTTATGCTGTTTACTTTAGTTTGTATTTCACATAAAGTCTTCAGTTCTTGGGTTGAACTTAGACTGCTAAAATCAAATAGCTACCTACGTGAAGTTGACTTTACAATGTAGGTCTAAGAGCTTTAAAGAATGATTGACCCAAAATAAATTTGCTTGACATTCTTAAGTGTGGTATTGAAAGATCTTCATCAAGACAAACACTGTTCAGTTGGCTTATTTAAGAGACTGAAAATAGAGGTAAGGAGCCTCAAAAGTTTCTTTCTGAAATACAGCTTAGTCTGTTAAGGCTAAGTAAGCTAAAATATTAGCCCCAAGACTTACTAATTATTTTTGTGAAACAAGCCCTTATGTTGAAAATGGATGTGTTATGTTCTCCAAACTAGATTTGATCATTTCTTTCACATCCAGCTAGGACCATTCCTAATATACTGAGCTATGACATTCTGGCATTTGATTGGTTTGCATGTATGTCTTTTTTTTTTTCAAATTACATTTGTATTTTATAAAAATTGTACTATGTTACGTGTAGCAGACATTCCTGTCTTAGAGCTTCAGTTCATAAATTGTTGGAATCTTTATTTTTAAGATAAAATGTAGTCTGAATATTAGTTAGGTTGTATTTTTATTTATTATAGTCTTTATTAAATTTTTTTATTGCACTTGTACATTTGTTCACTAAGTTTCAGATTTTTTAGAATTATTTTGAAAACAAAATATTGTATATCAATGATAAATTATGTATAAGAAAAAAGAAAACTGGAGGTTGTATCTGTAAATAAATGAATCTGAAAGGGTAAATTTGCATTTGTTCTGTTGTAATTGTATTGTGAATGAGTAATGATTTTCTTGAAGACTTACATTTGGACATTTCAACATACAAAACAAGTTTGTAGTTTACAGTTAAATTAGATGAGCATGGTTTGGTGTTCTCACCCTACTAAGTGAAAAATATTTGACACTTGAAAACCTCAATTAAATTTCATTATCATCCCTGCAAATGCATTCTACTGAATGCTTGTATAACTTGATGGAATTTGCTTGTATAACTTGATGGCACATTAAATGCACTGCACTAATATAAAAAGGTTAATGCATTCAAATGTAAATAAGTATAACTACTTTATTTTAAAGGATAAATTACATTTGCATCAGCTCTGATTATCAGTGTGGAATGTGGTTATTTTATGTGGTCCGAAAACTAATCCACAAACGGGACGTTTACGTGTACAAAATAGTTGGGGTCAAGATAAAAATGCCAAAATCCTGACCTCTAAAGATAATGACCTATGGCAAGCGCAGAGCAAAAAAATAAAATCTTTACAACGTCATCATTGTAAATACATCAAAGTTTAAGCATATCTTTTACACTTATGTCCTTTGTTGGATGAAGCGACAGCAGGCTCTCACACGTGCACATTTTTTTTAACATTCTGGCAAGCGTCCAAGAAAGCTGAAGGGGCTCGTCACGTTGAACGATATTTCAACCAATCAGAACACAGAATTTGTACCCCTCCTCCCTTTATGACCTTGAACAACGGCGAAGACTTCTCAAACCCAAGGCTAACGTTGACTGTAGAAGGTTCGGAGCATTCTTAAAGTAATAAGTGAAGATAACATCTGATCATTCCGAAGTTTATTCCGAAAGGTGAGTAACTTGTGTAAGATATTTAATCCGGAGTTCTAAGTTCGTATCTTTAAGCTTAAGTGGTTGTCAAGACGAATTTAGGGACTGAAAATTCCGCGCCCCACGTGGCGGAATGTTTACTTTGTGAACTGCTTCGTGTGTTTGATTTTTTAAAATTGTATTTTAACCTTGACGAACAAAGCGGGTTAAAAGGGATTTCTTTTCATTAGTAGTTGAGTGTTGTTGCACATCCTGTTTATGATTTTTTATTTTCATAATTATATAAGATGCTTATTTATTAAAATGAATATTACTCGGGTCATTATACTGTATGTGTACTATATAAGGTCATTCACTGATCCACTTACCAGAGCGAAAATCAATATTTGAAGAACGGACTGAAATCGAACGAAGTCAAGTCGCAATATTGCTTTAACTGACCAGTGCGTTATTCTGCTCGAAATGCGTTAATTTGGCAAAAACCCAAACATTTGTGAAGAGACGCAGAATTACAAATTACATTGCTAAAATACTCCAGCGTTCCGACATTGACAGTAGAGTAAGTCCATAGGAATGATAACTTTTTTAAAAATTTATAAACCACTCCAAGATTGTAGGGGGAGTTCACATTTTCAGTAATTTTGGAAAACTAATAAATGGCGTTTTTCCTAAAAAGGACAATGGGCAGAATTTCGTCATTGTTGACATTTTTCCAGTCCGCTGAACAATTATGCAATCTTTATTTATAGACACTTGCCAAATGTTGGCCTCTTGCCAAGAACTGAAAGATCATTATCAGTTGCTACCTTGGGTTCAAATTTTTAAACAAAGAATGCCTAAATTTCCTGCATTCAGCAGTCCATTTCTCCTATCTTTATGGATATCTAGTTCATTAAGGAATGGCATGTGTTGATCTTAATCTAAATTCTTATGAGGCAAGTAATATCTTTGCATGTATAACGTCCACTCTGTGAATGACCAGGGGACCTTCTGTATACAGCCCACCGCAGTTAGTTATCAGATGTTGACCCCCCGTGTTGTGACCACTCCCTTCCATTTAGCTTGGTCATTTGTAAGTTATTTCAGGGCAGTGATGAGATCAGATAGGTAAATATGGGGTGGATCACGTTGAAGTGACGCTAATTGAAAAAAAGTACAAAAAAAGTATTTTCCTTAGTTATGTATTAACTGAATGTTTTATAGTTCACCTTAAAAAAAGATCTCTGGAAGACGTACCATAGCCATTGTTTTACATGTGATGCCCCACAGAAGGACCTTGCCTGATTACGTAACTTTCAGGTAACAATTTTTTTCGAAAAAAAATTCTGTGATTCTCCTCAAAAAGTTCTATATGGTTGGAATTGACCCCTTTTACCCCCCCCCCCCAAAAAAAAAAAAAAAAAAAAAAAAGAGATTAAAAAAAAAACATTGAAAAGTCTTATAAAACTTGTGGTTTAAATCATATTTGATACATGCATGTACAGGTTACTATTCAGGTGTTACATAACTGCAGGTTACTTTTCAGGTATTGTAAGTCCAACGTTTTACCAGGTCTCGTTTCCCATTCTTAACATGTGATTTGAATAAGAAAACTTGTGTTTGCATAGCCCTTGTCCTTTAGCTGGTGTTTTAGAGATCTGAGCTCCTGGGTCACTGGGAACAGAGTGGGGACTGGAAGCCAGGCACTTTTATTGATTTTGGAACTTCTTTGATAGATTATGGGTACGGTGACTGTTCTGTAATTTCGAATTTCAAGTCTTTATTCCCGAAAAATCGCCTGTACTTAATGATTTTCCAAGATCTATCATATCAAGTGTACAAGTTAGTTTAACTAACAGGGACATTTTAAGTTGGTGTAACAAAATAAACTGGTTTTTCAATCATAAGTACAATAAAAAATTGTTTTGGGAAACATTGGATATTTAATGAAGGTGTTCAAATTTAGAGAGTAATTATCATACTTGACCGCTTTACTGATACATGCACGCGTGAACTTTTGCATCACGTGTATAGTACACGCTATATGTAGGCCTACTTTACAAGTTAGCAACTTGATAAACCACTAGTTTAAACTTTTGAACTTTTGAATCACATGTATAGTACAGGTCATATGTACTTTACAAGTTAGCAACTTCTTATATAATATAGTGAGAGCCTGGGAAACTAAATTTAGTTTCAAGACTTTGAATGTCTTTATTTTAATTTCTATCATAAACTTGATATTGGTGTGGCATAAAGTCTGATTTGATAAACCACTAGCTTAAACTTTTGAAGTTGTTTATTATTCATGATACTGCATTTATTAGGTAATTAAGCAAACACATCACTGAAACATTGATGTCTTTAGATTGCAGAGACAACTCCCTAACTTGATGAATGACAATGTTTTTACACAGTGCAGATACTTTGGAAACGTCCCCATGCTTTTATTTCTAATTAGTGTATCCCAACTATTTCTATTTTATGGTAAAGGTGTGGATATATGTGATTCAAAGTTCTCCTTTTAAAGGATTGTCTAAAAAAGTTTGTCTCATTGGCCATTTTAACAGGCCTTAAAATAGGAAAAAAACAGCTTTTTTAACAGCTTGTTTATTTATATCTGCCTGAAGCAAAAAAAAAATATATCATGAGAACAGTAGGTTTAGAGATGTAAGCTTTTATATGATCATGTATACTAAATGAACTGCTTATAAAACAACAGAGCTGTATCTGTAGACCCTATCTTAATGCTGTACATCACTGACGTATGCCACATCTGATATGTGAGACTCAAGTGATAGACCTTGGCATAAAAGTACTGCCATGCCAGCTTTTTTTTTTTTTTTAATTTTATTCTTATTATTTTTTTAGTATATGCACTTGAGTTACTATTGCAGTATTAGATATATATCAGACCCATCATGTATTCCAGTTACTGTCATCTGCTGCACTTCAGGAACTTTTTATACTTGCATTTTGTAAGTGAGAATTTAAGACTTCTAACAGAGAAGAACAAGTAATTTTATTTATTTATTTATTTATTTATTTATAAATATTTATTAATTTATTTATTTATTTACAGAATTTTATTTATTTATAAACTATTTTCAATTATCAAGACATAGTAGTGATAGTACCAGGATACGGGGTCAGCATGACTTTTACAAAGTATCATACCTTGGCTGATGCAATACAAAAATGCATTTTGGCATCTTTGGGGGCCATTTATTCCTTCATTCATTCATTACAACAGGAGGGGGGCTTTGTGGTGATCTTATCAAAATAATGTAAGTGTTGGTTTGAAGCATTTTAAAAAGTCTTTGAAGAGCATTATATATCAGAGTGGCAAAGAGAAAGTCATAACAATACATATTTATGGCTTTGTTTGCTTGTGCCTTGGGCCATTGTTCAGTATAAGGAAGAGTGAGGGCCAGTGCATACTTTATGTTGCTATTATCAACATGCATTTTCATGATAGGCTATTGTGTGTGGGGAAATGCCATTGCATCAGCATGTTGTGTGCCTGCCTCCTTATATAAAGCTGTCCTTTGGCTGGATTCTTAGTCTGTCTAGTTTTGAAGTGCCAGAACGCTATGTTAGACTACAGCTCCGAGTTTTTTACCTTAATGTGGCGGGAAAGCATTATACCTTGGTGGCTGAGATCATTAGAACCGAATAGGGATCCATCGTTACAACCCTGGGGTGGCAATAGGTGGATTTGATAGTGGCATAAGAGAGTTCAAAAAGAGAAAGCCTTTCACTGAACCTTTTTTCAGTGTATGTGGAGAGTTGCCCATATACTGTTGTGAAGTAAGTGTTAGCAGTAGGAAATATTATTTTTGAATTCATGATAACAGAAAATTTATTGGGAAATTTTAATGTGATAGATTTGTATTACATAAGGGGGGGGCTTCAATTGGGGGGTCTTGAATGGAGGAACTTCAGTTGGATTTCTTTTGTTATTTTTATTCTTTGAATTGATGTGCATTAGTTGTTTTAATTATTTATTTATTTTTTGAAAGTTTTGTAAAGGGACAATCTTATTCATATGAATTATAATCACGCCAGTGCATTTTTTTTTCCAGTAAGGAGAACAACCTGTACATCGAGACAAGTGAAGTCCACACTGCCTTGTCAAGAAAAAAGCCAGCCAAGTTTCTCAAAGAAGAAACATCAGCAAAGTTGAGATTTGTAAAGAAATCTGCAGGCAAGGTGTCCCAGAAAGAAAAGACCCAGTCAGTCAGTGGGGAAAAAAACTGTCAAATTCTGTCCAAGAGCCACCCTTGTCCATCCGCCAAGATGACCGATTGGCCTGTTTACACGATGGACGAAGTGTCTGACCACTGCGAATATTCTTCCTGCTGGATAGTTGTCCATAACTATGTCTATGATGTCACAACATTTGTATTTGAGGTAAGATTTTGGAGAATACGTTTGAATATTTTTAAAAAAGTATTATCATTTTTAGATGGTCACACATATTATTTGTTCATTGGTACAGGTGGTAAACAAACACTAATAAGATTAATAAAAGTTATTCAAAGGCTTTAAATATTTGATCACATATTAATAATTATGTTATACAATTAAAAAGACTACTTGGTAATTTCTAAATAGATGCACGATTACACAAGGATGTTATACAAAACTTAAATTATTCACATATAGAAGATTTATTAAGTGGTTAAATATAACAAATATTGAAATATTGTTCCAAATTATGTTCATAGTGATTCAGAATTTATTGCTTTTGAACAACCAAATGTCTTGAAGTGCATTTCAGTTTTAAAACTCCTACTTGCGACTAAAAATTGTGAAAGCTAAATGTTATAATAGCTGCATGCAGTTATACATTGTTCAGTGCAGCCTTGATCATTCAAGTGCATAATGTTGACGCAATGACGTCTTTTTTGGCGGGAACTGGAGTGCAGTCACACAGTTCAGTGATGCAGTCATAACTTCCGTTAGACATGTCAGCCACCTAGACACATTAAAATTCCATTACATGGCAATGTAAAGGTCATAGCAGTTGTCATTTTTAGCAGATAATGTACTCAATAATAGCCTTCACATTACTCTGTAGAACTCTGTTGGCACTCATCCATTTTAAGTAGAGTGGCTCTAATAAAACCAGTTTCAGCTTTTAAGTTTTTTTTTTTTTTTTTTTTTTTTTTTTCATAAGAGATATGGAGTAGTTTAGGTAAATCTATAATTGGGGCAGGTATAAAACTAATCTTGTTGAAAAATTTTTCAGAAAATAATGAAATTGAGACAAAGAATTATAAAATGAATTTATTGGAAAAAAATTGTAAGGTACATGTAACTAATACATGTAAAAAAAAGCCTATCTGAGAAAAATCTCACTCAATTAGTATTATAGGATGATACCTTTAAATCCAACTCCACCATTAAGGGAAAGACAATAACTTTATGTGCATTAAATTTGTCTTGCAAATTAGCACCTGTTGTTTAACCCAAACAATAAGCCATTTGTGTAGCTTATATAATATGATACTATGGGTCTATTCCCACAACTTTAGATCGATCTATCACCACGGGGAGTCTCACCAGACTACCGTCAGATAATCCCCCTTAAGTGTCCGTCCCCGCCCACTACAAGCCGTAAGGGGCAATTAACTTTCGTGTCCGCCTGGCTGACAGCTATTCAGCGCGAACCCCCAGGGAGTTAGGTCGATCCAAAGTAGGTCGATCTAATCTATGGAAATGGGGTGTATTTGGTAACTATTTGGAGCCCCAAATTACCAATGTATGCCAGTAGCATACAAATGATATTTTATGTATTCTCCTCCCTCATTATTATATAAGGGAGCATTCCCATAAACCATTGTACTAGCTGGATTATCTAACTCTGCGGGGATTCTCGCTTAATTGCATTTAGCGTACGCAACTTAAATGTATGGCATACGTATATAAAAGATAACTGTAAATTATGCTGTTAACTCTACTAATTAAACAGGAGAGAAAGAAAAGAGAAGTTTTGTCTGATTTTTAAGTAAAAGGACATGTAATTGCAGCTGGCTATATTTTAAAATCCTGAGTGTTGCATGTGTCACAACATTCCCAAATGATCATATTAATGTTCTACTAAAAGTACAGGTATTTAACATTCTTTAAGTTGGACATTTGCCAAAAGATAACACGATCTCTGCTTCGTCAAATGGCTTTGCATGTCACAGATAATTATAATGAGTTGATGTTAGCTTGCAAGCAATCAGATACAAATGTCACTCAAATTCCACATGTTTGTACACATGGGAGATGGTTGAATTAATTTGGCAGCTTGCCAACTTGTCAGATTCCTCTGTGTATTAAGTGTGACCAATTGTTGTGGGGTCAGAAATCTAAGATTTATGGTTACTCACCTGGACCTAAATAAGTGAAAGAGGGTAGTTGAAGTTTTAAAAAATTATTATTATTATTATTATTATTATTATTATAAGAAAAGAATTATGGCAGGTTAACACAATATGTAGAGAAAAAGTTCTGAGGTGCATGCGTACTCAGTTACATTTAAAACAATTTTTTAAAAATGGACATAGAAATAAAAAAAATAATAAATGGAAACTAAAAGACCACCTTTAATATATATAGAGTATAAGGGAATAAGATATGCTATTTTACTCTTTGGAACAATAAAGTATGAAATGAAGGTGATTTAAACCTAATACACTGGATTTTTTTTATTACCAGCACCCTGGTGGTGAAGACATCATCCTTGAACATGGAGGAAGAGATTGCACATACGCCTTCGAGGAAAAAGGCCATTCCCGCCACGCCACCATGATGTTGGAGAAATACTGCATTGGAATGTTGGTTGAGGTAAGTTTTATTTATTTATTTATTGTCTTTTTTGGTTGTTATTATTATTATATATATATTTAATTTTTCTAACCAACAAGAACAAAGCTTTAGATACTCCTCTTGTTATCCCATAAGACAGGCAAAAATTATTTTATCTCGAATGATTATTTTGCAAAGTTGATTAATATCATTTCCGTCACTTAACTGACTGTGTGGTCAATACTGGGCCCCATTTGGTCACCTCCATTTTATTTTTTCTAATTGGTGATTTTTAAGATGAATCTGTAAAAATCTGATCCGTTTTCTTTCAGAATGAGCGCATTATGCCACACTTAGGAACAAGATTTTCACAGACACTTGTTACACAGCAAAGTTAGTTGACATATTTTCCTATATCCTGATACAACTCCTACATCGCCAAGGCAGCGTCTGTGAATATTTTTGTAATTATTTTTATCAATGAGTGATGGCAATCCTAATAAGTCCTGATTGTGTCTTCCATTGGCAGCATTTTAAAATTATTTAGTTCATTAAGTGAAATGCCCATGTGGCATGTTCACAAATTTGTATATATATTATGTTTTTATTATTATTATTGTTTTCACAGCTTGTGCAAAGGTAAACGGTTGTTTGGTGGCCAAGGTCTGTGTTTAATTTTAGTCATTTTTTACCTCTGCTTTGCATTTGTTCATTGGTTGAGCAGTCAGAGTAACAATTTTTAACATTTGGGAAAACACGTGAGGTCCCAGAATTAGGATGCATGTGGAAATTGACATTAATCTATTTTAATAAGTGCTTGTTTTTATCGATGGTTACCAATAGAATAAGGATTTCATTTTGTGGAAAATTATTTGATCATTCTTCTTTTATCATATTGCTTTTGCTTGCATGAATAACACAAATTGAGATTTAATTTATGGTGGCAAAAGTCAATTCATTTTACTGATAATTACAGAAATGGTTCATGCATTCTCAAAATATCTGACTTGGTTTGTAAAAATATATAATTATTGAGAAATTTGCAAAATAATGTTATTTTTGTAATGCATGGTTTTTTTATTGATTATTTTAATGACTTGCATTTCTAAATGTAAAAACAAAAATTGCAAGTCACTGCAAGTGCTGTTAACTTGAATTGTCGATGTTGTTTTTACTCTTAAAAAGCATCAATACTGTTTTAAGTCATAACTGCTCTTATTTTAATTGGTGTTTTATTTGGTGCAAAATAACGCCATTTTACAGTAGTTACATCTGGGAAAAGAAGAGTTGGAAAAATACTTCTTACTGTTATCCATAAATATGACTAATTGTATCAATACTGAGCTTTGCTTGGAAATTGGTGACAACAAAGATGTAAACGAAATTGGTGAAAACTAAGTGGGACTTTTTTCAAAACGTATTGTACCGTTCTCAGGGGCATTGTCATCATTGAAATGGATTTTGTTCACATTTATGTATAGGCCCATTGATGTTATGAGCCATTGATTTTTCATGCGCAGAACGCAACTTTTAATTGTGCTTTACATATGTGATGTGTATAGTTAGAATTATTACATTTTACATTATAATGCCAGTTCTGAACAGCAAGGTAATTTATTATTTTATAACTTATTGTGATTTAGCTTACATCAGTAAAGCCTTCACGCACTGGGAACGTTGGAGGGGGAGGTAGCTGGATTATCTTACGAGAAAAATTTTGATTGTGTAAAACTCGTCACTAATACAAGACTGATGACTGTGTAAGGAATCTAGATGTTTGCCATTTGTAACAGCATATCTATGGTTATCATTACCCGTAAATGGGTTCAATGTCCTGTGACCAGCGCTTCCTTACATATTATATATATAATTTAGCATTAGCAATGCAATATTATAATGAAGATTGTTTGTTAGTTAAATTATACATGTACATTCCATTGCGAATAAAGTATTTATTTGATTCACAGATGATGACTTCACGTGCGTGACTTAAGCTACCAACACTCATTAACGGGTTATGCAGAGCCTATGAAATCTTTTTCTTTTTGTATCAAAAATTTTAATCTATTTATTTAACAGGCCCTGAAGGCACATTTGCTGAAAGTTTGGGTGTATTTATACGCATTTTAACTTGATCTATACAGATGCATTTTAACTCACCTTATTAAACTAAAGTGAAGATCATCACCACGGTGATTTTGGTAAATCTTCAACATTCCATGTTGAACTTGGATTGTTTTGAACGTCTTAAAATGAATGGTTTTTGTAAAGTTCTGTGATAGGTCCAACGTTCATTTATAACCAGTAAATGCCAGTATTTCTGATACCAGAATGAAGGCTTTCAATCCAAGCTCCTTGCACATTGATAAGAGAGTAAATTTGATTTAAATATTTATTATTATTAAATATATCAAAATTGACGCTTCGCTGGTAGCAACTTTTTTTCACTCAATATTCATGTCCCGCCTTGAACAAATTGGGAGGTTAGGGAATAAACTGAAGAAAAAGATATGCGGTTTGTTTGTTGCTTGTCTGCAGTTTTGATGAAGTTTATATGAAAGGTTCGTTTTATATGCAGTTCAAAATATTTCTAAACGGGAAAATAATACCCCCTTGTTGAATGTTTTAACGCTTATGACATAGATATTTAATAAAAATGCGCATAATTCATTAAATTTCATTTAAATTTCCAAAATAATGCAGATGGCTGTTGGAAAAACAATTGGCACATATACCCTAGGCCACATATACTGACTAAAAATTGTTGTTTTCCTATAAACTTGCACCAAAGCCGAAGCGCATCACCGACCTCTAATTATAATCATTTATTCTAAAGTTGCGGTTTGCACATCGAAGGAATTGACGCGTTTTGTGATAGCAAACCAGTGTCTTGTTAAAGCTTGTCCCGGTAGATGGCGCGCGTTCTCCTGGTACATCGCCAATCGGTCGTCTGGTGCAGGTTAGATGATATACGCGGGAAGTGTCACAAAAAAGTGTACAAAAAAAGACGGCTCAGCAAAGTCGGGGGGTAAGTAAATTCAGGATCTGTGCTTTATTTCATGGGTAAATTTGTAGTACTCCGTGTACATATTATGATAAGTGGATCCAAGTAAACTGTGTATAATAGAGACGAAATGCCAGAAGGCCTACTTCTACCGGTACTTTCGGTTTGGGAGTTCAACCCCCTTTATTTTAAAGAAGAACAATTTGCCTATAAAAGAATGCTTCAGAGCAAGATGCAGCGAATTTAAAAGCACTGACTGCTACTGTCCTCTATACGATTATAACTCCAGGCCCGTAGCCAGGGGAGTTCGGGGAGTTCGAAGGAACCCCCCTTTTTGCCGGGAAAAGGTCCTCTCTAGGTAAACTTTAATCAAGGTACACAATGTTGTTGTTGTAAAAGGTCCACTTTTTTGGAAAAAGAACCCCCCTTTTGAAATTTCTGGCTACGGGCCTGAACTGCCACTTTATCCCCAGCCCCACCCAACCTTCATGGGACAAATAAAACATACAGTTTCTCTGGGATATATTCACTGCTGCAACGAGACTTCACAACGTTGCACTCATCATCAGCTGTGTCAGTCCATTCTGCACTTGATTCTCCATGCACCTCTTTAACATTTGCATCACATGTTATGGAAACAATAAGCGTGGAATTTGGTCATGTCAACCATTAATATCAGCATAATCCGTAAGCCTGGCTCACTGTAATCGGCAGCCTGCATTTCAGCGCAGGCCCTTATGCAGAGAGAGAGAGAGAGAGAGAGAGAGAGAGAGAGAGAGAGAGAGAGAGAGAGAGAGGGGGGAGGTTGGGAGGCGACTGTTTTAGGTAAAAATGGCATGCTTCGGGAGGCTTGTTCTTGAAAAAAGTATTTATGGTGTGTGTCGAGCCGATGATACGCTGTCATGCTATTTGTATACACGTTTACACAGTGTATAAAATACTGTACTTCACCTTTTTATATTTGACAAACGCACACACACACACTCGCACACACACACACACACACACACTCGCACACACACACACACACACACACACACACACACACATGCGCGCGCGCGCTTGCAACTTCACACACACTAAATATCTTCTTTCATACAAGTATTAAAATATAACGTTTAAATTTTAATCCTCTCCCTTCTCCGGTTCCATTTTCATGTCTTTGAAACATTAAGTTCTTAATCGGGCACTTAACTTACACATAAGAGAAGAACGAAAGTCGGTTTACATATACTAACTTAAAATCAAAACTAATTTTTAGAAACCGGTTCCTGATGTGGTTCTGCCGATTGTGCCAGGTGAACCAAGTAAGAAACACAATCTGGATGTGACGTGGTCAGATCCCCCTAGATCAAACCACAAACTTGTTGTTTATTTGCATGTCTGTCGTGTTGAAACCAGCATTACTAGTAATTCATTCGTACTGTTTCAGGAGGCGATATGATAGCGGTTTCTTACCATAGGAAGCCTATCTAATCCCTCTATCGTCCCACCCAGCGCTATTAGATTGGCTCATTGCTATGAAAATCGCAATCGCTTTGTGTACTGAGATAATGAAAATTAAGTTGAACCGCCACAACTTAAATGGAAATGCAGCCTTTGTGTGACATTTCGTGCAGAGGCGGGGAACTTGTAGGACTTTTTTAAAGGCAAAGATGATAAAAATAAAGCAGTCATAATCATATTACAGCGGGATTCTTTAGAAGGGAACCGCAGAATGTGCCATAGATACAAGACCAGAATTTGGGCTTAGTAAAGTATGAAGTCTGTCGTAAAAAATTATTGTGCAAATGTTTCTGTGCAGAACTTTTTAAAACAACAGAACATGTACGTGCAACATTTGAGAAAAGTCAAATAAAAAATAACACGACAGATATTTATCATCCTTTTCACTTAATTTTTCCTCTACTGCTACCTATACTACTCTTTCTCTCTCTCTCTCTCTTTTTATATTGGTGGGGTTACATGTGTCTTGCATTTCCTTTTTTAGTTCCATTTAAACTGACACTTTCATGTCACTATTCTCTGGCCAAAGAAATAACGGGGAATGCAACGTAATATAAACTTTGTGATTCCAATCAAGTCAAACTAAAAATGGATCATTTTACCAGCTCTTGGGAAATAATACTAAGAGGCGTTATTACCCATCAAAATTTCCGCACAGAGTTTGACTTGCCACTGCACACGTCGGCAGCACGTGTCACGTGCGGCACACCACCTCTACCCACCTACTGCGCAAAACTAAAAAGAAAAAGCACATTGTTCCACTTCCTTGGCAGAAAACCATAAATTGTCATCCATGAAGCTAGATATATGGAAGGATTTTGAAAAAACTGTCATGTGTTTTAAACCTGTGAATGTTTGAAATCAACTTCGAACATAGCGTAGGCCTACCCTGAGATTCAGACTCGGGTTGTTTCACACAATTGCACAAAGACGGGGGACGAGAACCGACCTGACAGCTTTGAACCTCAGGGCGCGAACACGTAGAAAAGCGATGGGATCTCCCTGAGTCTCTGAACCTCAGGGTACTTTTCGCATTAAGTCGCTCTCGGTTTTCAAACTATTGACCTGAATTCACTGACATATTGTAGTGGATTACGACGCGTGTTGGACTGCATGTGGTTCTGTTACATTACATTTGGATAAAAGCGTGGGTCCTTTTTTGTGACGTTTGGGTATTGTTACCAAGGCGACGGGAGGCAGTGGACAAAACATAAGGTGAGATGCACGTGGGGTCGTCTGCAATGTCCCCAGCCCAGCCAAGCCCATCCCCTTCCCGCTGTTTCTCAGATGAATAAATGAAAAGAACGTGCTGCGTGTGTATGTGTGTGTGAGAGAGTGAGTGTGTTTGTGTTTGCGCGCGTGCATGTGTCGGATGTGTGTGTGTGTGTAAGGGATTGATGGACGGATGGATGGATGGATGGATGGAGGGACGGAGGGACGGATGGCTGAAGGGAGGGAGGGGGAGAAAGAGAGAGTAAAGAGGGAGAGAACTCAAAACGCACACCATTTCAGATTTCAGTTTTTATCTATTCATGCAGTCTGGGAGTTTTTAATCTAGTAGTGTTTATTCCTCTGATTCCTAGGGCCTGATATTAACCAGTCTAAAGCCAACAGGAACTGACATATCTTGGTATCTCTCAAGGGAGGACAAAAAATAAATGGACAAAAACTAACAGATATAGGTTGAGAGCATCGTGCTGTGATGACCTTAACTTGCAGTATATTGATCCAGGCATTGTGGCCATACGCCAAACTATGTTATCCTGGGCTATTCATGTCGCACAGCCTGATTACCAGTAATGTAATACAATTTAAGCGCGGAAGCCTCGTGAATTAGTCGAAGACCACACTTGTGAAAACAGTAAACATGACAGCAACATAAAAAAGGGTACATTTTTTTCTTTTTTTCAGTATTTTGGTGTGATTTTTTTCAGGCCCGTAGCCAGTAGGGGTTCGGGGGGTTCGAAAGGATCGCCCTTTTTGTCAGGAAAAGGTCCATTCTGAATTTTCATAATAAAAGGTCTACTTTTTCGGAAAAAAACTTGAAAATTGCTGGCTACGAGACTGTTATTTTCAGCTTCTTCTTTACACTCCGTTACAAGTATTCTGATGTACAGTATATGTAGGACCTACACGGTCTCGGGGGAGCGGAGTTTTCCTTAAAAAAAAAAAAAAAAAAAAAAAAGGAGTGATTCTTTTGACCACAAAAAAGGCAAGTATATATAACGGTTTGTGGGTCGCAAGGCGATGCTCGTGGCTACTAATTTCACGTAAGAGTTCTTAATTCGTGGCCCGAGTGGTTAATTCGTGCATTTGTGCTCCCAAATCTGAAGCTCGAGTTCGCAAACGCCTAATCCGTGTTTATAAGGCCCGAAATAGGCATATATGCTACAAAGCAACGTGCTTTTCTTCATTATTCCCTGCATTATTACAATAAATCTATGTCATGTGCAATGCAAACGAGCTCCCTCCCTTTCCTGTAAAATACCCTATAGATATCCAATATCTGAGACATGTAGGCCTACACCATGTATGTCTTTCTGCAGTATATCTCTGGCTCATAATCATATACCTACCACAAGGCGTTACAACACGAAGAGAAACAAAACGGCAAATGTTTCAGACATTTTCAGGTCTACGTTCCCTCCAGAAGAGAATTATACAGCCAGAAACTCGGGTGACAAAAGGAAGGTAGTTTTTCTACACCCTGGGTTTCAACGTGTATAACCTGGTATCTATTCATTATCATCATTTGCTGCATTTGCTGTGTGAATTCAACGTAGTCTAGTTTCAGCCAACGTACAGTGTACAGGCCCGTAGCCAGCAATTTCAAAAGGGGGGTTCTTTTTCTGAAAAAGTGGACCTTTTCCCATTAAAACTTCATGTACCTAGATCAAATTTTACCCAGAGTGGACCTTTTCCCAGCAAAAGGGGAGGTTCTTTCGAACCCCCCGAACCCCCCCTGGCTACGGGCCTGGTGTATTACTATTATGTGACAGTTACGCGCATTAAGAAGCTGTTCTAGCCCCATTCACGCCATTCACATGCACTAAACAGACGGTATAATTTATCATCGGTAGGCCTATATCTATTCAGTGCTTCCATAATATGGTTAACTTCTGATTAATTCAGGACTGGTTAAATGTGTATAGGCTACCCTGAGTTTCATGCCTTTTGGGAGATTAAAAAATGTGAAACTTGTCTGTTTGGACTTGTGTAGGCCCCCTATAGGGTCTATGGCTGGATTCAGAACATATGGTCCACGGACTAACTGATCCACGGACTAAATAAGGCCGATCCACTTAAAAGCAATCATTTTCAGGGAATTCAGTCAGTTTATATTCGTTGCCTAACTGCCAGGGTCTTGAACGTGTATGTGTAGCCTACGTGTGACGTAGATCTATAAAGGTAGTTTTGTGACTACGTCACGGTTTTTGACAATTCTCGTGAGTCCTGTTACTTCTCGCGGATCAACTGTGTACACGTAAGTGAACAAAGAGATTTTTAACTGCTTTTTTAGCGTAAAATATAGTTGGTTTTGTTCAACGTTTTATACTCTTAGCAAGATTAATCTATTTTTGTGGGGCTAGACTTGCCCTTCAAGAAATCGACGGAAAATAGCTCTTTGTCAAATTTGAATGGGCACTGTAGAAAACATATAACAGCTAAAGCTCTCAAATTAGGCACATAGGTGTGATATCATGTGAAGAATAAGTTCCGTAAATTTCAATCCAAGCAGTTGAGTACATTTTGAGACAGAACGCTTTAATTGCGCAGCAAACCGTAACGCTAATCCCTTCAAGATCTCGACGAAAACTGGAAGTGCGTCATGACGTCACTCGCTTGTACTTGGAAAGCTGCTGGGTGATTTTCCGATGAGAAATATTTCGTGGCTTATACAAATGTTCGGAAAATGACCATGCAGATAAAAGAAAATTTACTAATCAAAATTGAAACTGCGTAATTACATAGAAAAACTTTGTGCATTTCTGACCTCGACTTGTCAGTTTAAACAAAGTGTACTGAACGCATCGCAAGCAAGCACGTGAATGCCGCGTTTGATACTTTGTATCAGACGCTTCGTTTTACTTGACAACACAGTGTTCACGATGGGCCTCACAGGAAAAACAGTGCAAAAATTATGCACTTCCGGTTTTCGTCGATTTCTTGAAGGCGTCGATTTCTTGAAGGGCGAGTCTACGCCTCCGTACGTGCTTTTACCTTACACGGTGAAATGTCTGAAACGCAGACTTTTTCTGCTCATCGACACGACACCATTTTTTTTTCTGGAATCTTCTCTCGATTCCTGGAATTTGCAATGTGATGACCGTGACTTCGCATTATATTGCCAGCAAACTGAATGTACTAAATCAAGTATTATGTTTTTTAAGTTCATTTCAATGTTATCTGTTTGAAATCTACATGTATAGGCCTACTCGTATTTCATTTCCTTCGTCTGTCTGTCTGTCTGTCTGTCTGTCTCTATATATTCATTGATGTGTTTGTGTATGCTAGTCTGTCCTTGTGTGATTTTGTCCAGCCGTCCGACTCTCTTTTTAGCCGGGCAAGAGAACCCCAGCATTTAAATTATCTGAATATCATACAGCAGTAGTACAATGCCCTTCGCTGCTAGTTAATCAGAGGACAAATGAAAATTACCACTACATGTCATGTGTCACTGCAAACCCCTCTCCCTTATCTCAGTCGTCTTGTCTCTATATGTAACTTATGTAAGTTATGATATAGCCTCCTTTGTGTTTTGAATTTAGCATATAGTTCCATAACCAGCTCGTGTTCTACAAAGTCTGAGGCTCTTAATAATACTTCGGTATATAATGCATTACACAACTCTTCCATATCATGGGTGTTTGCTAGTATTCGGATTCAATCTACAGTATGTACACTTACATGCAACGGGTGCAGAATTTCCCACATTGTTAGAGTTATCTGAATGACATGATCTATGTAAGTCTCATTCTAGGGCGTAGTTAACTGTCTTAACTCTCTTCCGTCAACTGTAACGAATAGATTGAGGGATGTCACTAAAAGATGTCATCGCGGACGACACTATTCACCTCGTCCCTGCACTGGTCGTTTGACATTTGACACAAAACGGGAGTAGAGAATGGAGCCCGGTATCATGGTTGTCACTGTTCCCGAGCAGACGGTATCCTCTCCCGGAGGCCATCTTCAGTATCTCCGCTCTGTTCCTGGGATTATTCGGACAACAGAACTGGTAAGGTTGTTCAGTACCCTGAGTTTCAAAGAAAATTTACATTCACTGTTAGCATGCCTTTTGAGATACGCGAGAACTTCAGGGTGATATTCAGTGGCTTTCCTCCTCCATTGTTGTTAAAAGAAAATTAAATCACCAGAAACCTATTCCCGGGAAGGGGGTGTGTGCTCTCCTCCTTTGACCTGTTTTAAAGTTGTGAAGTTAAAGGGGGTGTATAATCTCTGATTATTGGAGAAGCTTATGTACCGCACCCTCTACCAGGGTGCAGATTGATTTTTCACAGATTTTCACAGCTATGTCTCTAGATAAATAGACAGTCATTTTGGTCTGAGTCAGCAAATATGTCCACGATAATAACTGCGGCCCTGGTAGAGGTGTAGATGTAGGCCTATATGTACCGTACGCAGGAGTTAAAGCCCGGATAGGGATCCTAAAATAATCAACACCCCTTACTTTCTAATTTCAGATATTATCTGTCCACTGACGAAAATCAAATGTACACTGGTACCGTAGTCACAGTGGAACGCGGAGTAGCAACCCGGGTGGGGCACTTCTAATTTCACGCCCACCTTACTTCTCTTTTTAGGTTTTATCTGTCCTGCTGTTGATATGTACACTGGTGGTGGTACACGGAGTGGCGTTCCAGGTGGGGTACTTCAGGAGTATGGTGTATGTGGAGTTCGTAACTGTGATGTCCATAATTCTCATCGCTGTATTGTGCATCATTAATGTGACTCGCCTAAAGGCTAAGATTGCTATATGGCCAGCACTGGTAGGTTTACATTTTTTCCCAAAATCTTTGATTATTGCCTGATTAAAATGAGTCTATTCAAGATATTTTTGTAGGCCAACCATTTTAATAGTACATGTATAGAATGGACGATTGACCTTTTTAGCAAAAAAAAAAAAAAAAAAAAAAAAAAAAAAAAAAACGGGAAACTTAAGCAATTTTCCTACTGCCACCAAGGTATTCCCAATCCCATTTTGAGCCCTTGCGATAACAGCGATATTCACCGGTCTCCATCTGTATAAGAATTAAGACCCAAAATTCGTCACCAGCTTTGGACAGGGCACACCTATTAAGGGAATGGTTTAAATAACCGGGGATTTTTTTATTACATAAAGACGTAACTCTCATCGTTAGCCTCACAATAACAAGTGATCGTAAGCGTGATTAACATTTGTCTGTTAAATATATTTGTTTTTTTGTCTGCCTCCGGTTTTTAATAGCGCGTGCAGACAAAATAACTTGCTTTGGAAAGACGGGTTTTAACAAAATTTTCCGATTTTGGGCTGCCATATATATATACCCCCTTCTATACTGCCATTAAAGATAGTATTTGTCTCAGAACTGTGTCAGTCGTTTTTAAAAAAGGCAGTCGGCATTTTGATAGAAATCGTTGATTGGTTTGTCTTTGGAAATTCAAGCCATATACAATATATTAAATTCATTAATAGTAGCAAACGTAGCCTTATGTTTGCAAATAGAGATGATAAAGATTACCGTTGGTCTCTAAACATTTCTTATGCCATTAGCACTGAATATTTCAAAGAAATGATTTGCTCTTTCTGTCAATTACAGGAGTTCATCATCTGTGGCATTCTCTTCTTAAGCTGGCTCGTCGCGTTCCTGATCGCTTGTGTGGAGGCTGCCAAGTACCCATTCCCCCAGCCTGGCTGGAACTATGCCGCAAGAATTGCTACAGCGGTAGGAAAAAAGTCAAATAATGATTTTGACGATAACTTATAAAACAACTTACTTTCTGAAACAAGAATATATCAATTTGAAATAGTCATATTCAAGTTATATCATACTGTAATAAAGTGACGTTTTAGGCCTACTTCAGTTATTTATTTCTAAATGTGATGCGTAAGCAAGAGGGCGGGCCTGCGTTTGTGCATGCATGTTTTCCTTTTTTATTTTGTTTTCCTTTTCCTGTTAATTTCGAAAAAAGTTTTTCAGTTTTGTGACTGTATATCAGTCTCACGTCTTTTCCAGATATTTACAGCATTCATCACCGCCATTTTGATTGTTGACGTCATCGTCTTGTTTATGGCGTGCAGAGGACGCCCTATCTTCCAAGCAGCGGTGTAGAAGGATTTTTACTTAAGTGGTTCACATAATACAGAAAAGAATAGATGAAATGAATGAGGATACCAGTTAACGGGACTCCGATAAGGCGCAATCAAGAGAGATGCCCATAGTTATGCCGTTCACAGACAGGCACGGACATTCTTGGACAAAACTGCCCTTTTGATCATGGATAAAGTGAAGGTGTGGACTTTTCTCGACAAAAGAGGAAATGCAGAAATCCTTATATTTTAGCGCGCCAAACTCCCCCGTGGTATTTTATCAGTCCATGGTGTTATTTTTCCTGCAAAATGAATGCATGGGGTTTTGTCTTGAAAAAAGGGCTTGGAGAGCTTTCGCATCTTGTATATATCAAGTACCTCGAAGCTACATTGTATGAGCCAAGGAAAAGGAAAGTTGCCGAAAATATTTTAAGAGGGTCCAAGGGTAAGTAGAGGTCCATGACTGCGCGGATATTACAAGTTTAATTATCTCTGTCCCAAGGAATGACTGGGACAGAACTGACTTCAGTGTTTGAGAATGCTCAAGGATAAAACGCCACCCATTACGGTGCTGAAATCGGGATGAGAGATCTCAACTCGAAAAAAAAGCCAAAGGAAAATAAATAACTGAATAAATAAATAAATAAATACATCAAATAGTTAATTAATTAAAAGGGATCACAAATAAATTTATCACGAATTAAATAAATGACAGTCTTCTCCTTTGGGGAACTGGACCTGAAGGTGTATTAACGTTGCAGCTACTTACTAGCACTAACTTAGTACCGTACTTTCTCTGCAGACCGTTTGCTTACAAGTGTAAACATCCCATCGTGTGGCACAGCCAGGACGTAATGGGAGCACAAGCACATCCTCAGTGCGATGGGTGGAGCTATATTTTCATTACGTTGGCTTCGCATGAAACAGTTTATTCCTCATACCTCATACCGTATTGACTGGAAACAGTCGTCCAGACACGGTTGTTTCCGCACCTCCATCCGTAAATCTGCGGAATCTGCCGACATGTTCAGAATATGACTCGGGACTTCAAAAAGTCTTAGAGCTGCGATCTCCTGTCAGAGTGTGGTGGCTGAGAAACCAGATTAACCACTAAAACAATCGCACGTTGTCTTGAGTTTTGAAGCGCTTGCCAAAGCCTTACCATTTGACAAAATTGTTGTTAATTAAATGCCTAATCACATGTTGCTATGTAAATACATCAGAATGCATATATTTCCATGTCATTGTTATAACAAGTGTTAAACACCTTTTACCATAAATTTTATTGTATTTTAAAGTATTTGCTACTTATTGATGTAACAAAATGAACAAAATTGAAGGCATAAAGAAGAATATCAAGACACTCTTGATTCTGTGAGAAAGTGGGAGGGGTATAGCAAGAGGATTAGAAAGTAAGTAAGCATGTAGAGCCTCATAACTACATAACTTTTCTCAATAACTTTTTAAGTTATTTGACACGTTGTCAATAAAACGTCATGACATCACTGATATTGGTACAAGACATATTTAACTCCTGGATCTTTCTATAGATAATGTAATCTGACTTGGGTCTACTTTATTTCTCATTTCAAACGTCTATTGTTGTATTTCTTTTATTAGATTACCAGCATTTTTTCACTTGTTCAGTGTTAAAGGTTCATTCGTCTTGTTGTTTAGAGATAAAGGTGGCATTCCTAGTCAAAGTTTGGGCGGTTTAAATTCACACGTCCCATCTATGTAGAATTTTACACATTTTTACTATGGAGTTTCTTTCCAGCGACAGTAGACTTATTTCAAGTTCATTTCCGCTGGGCATGAATGAAAAAATAAAGTAAAACTTCCTACTGTTAGAAATCGTTCTCGAACAGTCTACTTTTATAGTAAAAGAAATCAGTTTTTCGAGAACAGACGTCACCACTGCACTGGGATAGGGTATTTTTACCCGTTTAATTAACGGATCTTATGGAGAAGTAAAAATCAAACAATTGCAGATGGTCATCATTACGTATTCCAGTAGTTTGTAACTCTAGTACTTTACGCATATACTTTCACATACGCTGTCCATCTCTTTTGTTCTCTGGCCCTCTATATTGTATCACTGGCAAAAACACTTGTATATTGAGCTATAGATATGCGTTTTAACAGTGTTGACAACCCTACATGTATGTGACTATAAATAAAATCGTATCTATACTGTTCACATTCATCAAAAGCCATTTGCACGCCGAGCATCATCTATTTAAATTTGGAAACTTGTGGAAAGGGGGGCGGCAAATGTCCTTACTCTTCAGTTTCGTGTACTACACGTAGCACCCGCCATTACGTCTTTATGACAAGTTTTTAGTTAAGATTGTATCTATCACTGGTTGAGACTAAAACTCAGTGCGGCTAAAAACAAAGCTAATACTGTCAGTGGTCCAAAACATAACGAGTTCTGACGACCGCTAGCGGTATAGAAAGGTCCGCGGCAATTATCTACCGGCATAGGACCACAGTTCTCTCTCGCTTTCTTAAGAAAGCCACTTTTCAATATCAGCCCTTGGTAAGCTTCTGGGGTAGCGCATTCCCCATCAACTGACATTCTCGGATGTCCTCTCGAGATCTCGCGATACAAATGACACGTGCAGTGAATGGGATTCCCGCGCAAGTCCACCTGCTGAAAAATCACGGAATCGATCCAGCTTGTGTCGCTCAGGTTGTTCGTGTCAAGTTCTATCGAGAGCGATCCCCGGTATGTCTTCATGTCATCGAATGCATCTGGGGCCACGTGGTTGATGTCCATCCACAGTAGGGTCAGACGCTCGACATCCAGCCCTGCAATGGTCTCCCTGGTCAAGTGTGTCCACCCGTTTTTGGACGCGTCAATCCATTTCAATTTTTTCAGCGTTTTAAGCGACTCAAGCGGAAGTGAGTTGGTGTAGCCTATAAGGGATCGCATTATGATTGTCTCCAATCTGTCTTCGAGTCCAAGAAACATGTCAGTAGTGAAGTTAAGAGGGTTTCCGCTGATTTCCAAAGTCTTGAGGTTAACTAATGCAGAAAAGGCGTTTGGTGGAAACTCCGTTATATCGTTAAATGTGATATCAAGTTCGGTGAGTGCTTTCAGAGGAGAGAAAGCCCGGTGCGGTAAAACCGAGAGGTAAGAACTGTAAAACGAGAGTCGCTTAAGGCTGTCTCCAATACCAATAAAAGCATCTGGGTGTATCGCGTCTAGTTCATAAAGATCCAAGCGGCTCAGTGTAAGTTCCTCCAAACTATCCAGTGTTTCAAATGCCCTTGCTGGTATAGACTTGATATCGTTGGCATCAATATCGAAATCTTTGAGCTTTTTTAGGCCACGTAAAGCCTCGACAGGGACATCAGTCAAACTGTTCCCATATAAATTGATTTTCTCGAGGTTTGTAGAGCCGTTAAAGGCGTCTGGGTGCACGGATGTCAGATAAGACCGACTTAAAATAAGCTTCTTCAAGTTTGGCAAGTTGAGAAAAGCGTTGGCAGGGAGCATCTTATTGGCGTATTTGTAACTTCCCTGTATGTCGAGTTCTGTCACCTTAGGCACTACCGTTAAAAATTCCCAAGGTAGCGTAGACAAGTCGAAACTGTTATCTTGTAAATCGAGAAAGTTTAAAGACTCGCGAAATGGACGAAAGGCGTTAACGTGGATACGCTCTAGTATGTTGTACGAAAAGTCCAACCCTTTTACTTTGCCGTCAAATGCACTGAAGGCAGTTTCCGAAATGTTCTTAATTCTGTTATTCGAAAGGATTATTTTGTCGATTGCTTTCCCTGTGTATCTTGTAAAAACTGGAACTGACGTGAGATTTCTTTTGTCACAGTCGATGACGTAGATTGGGTTTCCGGTCACGAGGTCGGTGTCATCCTTGCACGTGCATGGCAGCGACGCGGGACAATTGTCGTCTGCTGATGATAATCCAATACATACAGCCACCATCACCGACACACTCAAAGTCAGCATATTGGAGAACATCGTTTTCAGGTTGATAGGACTGATGAAGTCTAAGAAATCAAAGATAAAAAATATGTTGATTAAACAAAACTGTAAAAACACCGCCTTCCTCACAAAATACATTTTATAGGCCTACTTTACAAAACATTGTAATTAGACATTTCTCTCTCTTCTCTTTATACCATTACTATTTAATTCAAATTAATCCTTTTAACTTCGTAATTCAAATACAATTGTTTTGTATTTTATTCTATAAAACGTTTCTTATGGATTTTCTACAAAACATTTTTATGGATTGCAGACTCTTAATTAGTGCATTTTTCTTCTTAGAATCTATTATTATTATTATTATTAATATTATTATTATTATTAAAGTCAATGTCATTACAAAGACCCCTGTGATATCAGAAGATATTGGCCACGGTAAAATTGTTTTTCTACTGTCTAGCTCAAAATTCTAAATTATGCTAAAATATTGCCAAAAGTAATCTGATTCTTATGAAAATAAAATCAATCCATCCTGGGTCTATTATCTGTCTTCAAAGAAATTGAAACAAAAATCTCTTGTGGCCTCCATCGCTGGACGAAAAGACGACCACAAACTCACAAACGAGCAGAGCAACAGACCTGTCAAATTGTTTGACAAGTAGTAAGGCCTAATGATAATAATTCAATTATTTATATAAATGTAATATACTTTTAAGTTAAAACATGAACTTGGGTTACTTTGATAACAAGGGTGGGGAGATATAATTTTTTAACTTTTTTTTTAATCATTCCCCCTTTTTTTGTGATACCATATGACACGAAAAAGACACCTTTCCCTACATAAGCAGGAGAATCAGTGTGGTAAAGAACTCAAAAAGTCTCTTACCCAGATAGAGAGAAAGAGAGCGAGAGAGAGAGAAGTACTGACTCACGCAATTTATGTCAATACCAACCAAATGTTTACCAGACAGATACCAGAAAGCGTATACATGAGATATTGCATGTATACTTAACACTATCTCCTATTACCCGCGAAATCGATCAATATATAACATGTATAGTTTTGTTCTTGTGTGGCTTTTTCCTACTTTGAGGTATTCTTTTTCTTACCAAAGAATTTAATGTAGATACGTCTAACAATCTAAGTGAGTTTTAACTGTACAAAATCAAATACTGACATACACATTCAGAATGCCAAATACAAAGTAAGTTGCAATGTCCTTTTCACATTCCCTCTCTCTCAGTTGCTCATTTAAATACAATCCATTTGTTTGAATGAGAGTCAATGTAGTAGTTTAAGGGTGCTTTCCCAGAGATTTAGATCGATCTAAAGATTAAGTTTTAGATCGACCTAACTCCCTGGAGGTTCAGGCTAAATTGCAGTCAGCCGAGCGGACACCATAGTTAATTACCCCCTTAGTGCTTTTAGTAGGCGGGCCAGACGCTTAAGCCGGCCAAGCTGACAGTAATCTAGTGAGACTCCCCACAGGGATAGATCGATCTAAAAATCTATGGAAATGGGGTGTAAGTATTAATTTAAAACACGTTAAAATCAAACACATTTAAAAACATATCGCAACTTACCATAGGCGCAAACTCAACTACGATTTAAGCTCTAGAAGGAATCAAGTTGCACGTTAGTGCGAAATGGAAATAATTGAAGTGGTTCCTCAGTCTTGATATGCGAATAATACAATAAGTTGTTAAATTTACCAAAACACACGCGGTGAACATTTACGCCACGATAGCTTGGGGTTTTCAAAGTCCGACTGTTTCTTAAATTTCTTACTGCTTCAGCTAAGAAAATTGACCATTGTAGGAAATTAAAATCGAATTGAAAAATAACTTACCATGAAAAATGCAAAGCTTCCAAAATAGTGTCACCTACTTTCAAATCAGTTTTAAAATGCAACCTCGCGCACCACTTTATTTGTACAAAAACGACAGAACCTCAAACCGCATATTTCTTGAATTACGTTTATTCTTTACGAAGTGCTTGTGCTATTTGTCCTATACAGTAAGAAAACCGCGAGGCACGTGCTGCACGCTAAACAAGAAAGGTATCAAAAGACCAATATGCTGATGGAAAGTTAAAGGCACGCAATGTGCCTTATAGGTCTTTATATACTGCAGAAAAAAGATGCAAGTTAAAGAAAAATTTCCCTGAACGCTAAGCTAAACCTCATCTTAATGATCTACAAAAGGCTACAAAAGGGAAATATTTTTTATTTAAAAAAATTTACTACATGTATAAATTGTAGCCTACAGACTTAGAAATGCCTATTTTGGCCTCATAGTTTCATTGGTCAGAAGGGGAACAAGGGGTACCTCCGATTGTAAGGAAGGGTGGCGGGAGGCACATGCACGAAGGTAAAAAGACCCAGTAGCCATTTATTGATGTGATATTGAGTCATTAGAAGATAGCAGTGTCCGACTGAGTGCTATATAACAATTTTCATTTCAGTAATACTAGTATGAAGATTTGTTCAAATCACAAGTATCTTCAGTGAGTTTGTTATTCATGGTAAGGATCATGTAGCTTTTTAGTCGTGACCTAGACTGCTTTTAGTCACGCCGATCATTCGAGCATTTACCGCCTGTCACTAGCTGTCAACTGCTTAAAAACACAGGTCAGATAAGTCTTTCATTATGTACTTATTCTTCATTAAAACTTTTCAAAAAACCTACCTGGATAAATGAATTTACGTAAGTAAAGTTCTTACGTTGCACAGTTGGCTTGGAGCACTAGAGCCTGTCACTGATTTTTATCATTTCTCAAACCAACTCTCCTGCCATCAGTCCATTGGAAAGTGATAGCGACAATTAGCCCAGTTAAAGAATTTGTACTTTATCTGAACAACATTTCTGGATAACCTAGTTTTAATGTGTTCCATCCGCCTTAAAGTGTTGAAAACCACCACTTACTTGGGTCGCACCCAGCGCCGTTTCAACTAAAATTGTTTAAAAAAATTTCGCAATACATGAGGTGTTCCAAGAATGTTCCAACAATGTCGTTTGTGTCTAACTTCTCAAGCCACGACTTTGCGTTCTTCGAGATTGTTTCAAGTGTGCCAGTCACGTTTGGTATCACTGACATTTTTGACACTTTATTATTATTATTATTATTATTATTATTATTATTATGACCACAGGATGAATGGATTTTAGACCACTGCCTTACTCAACTTAGCCCAAAAGAATCAAAGTAGGCCTACAGCACAACCCAACCTCGGAACTCTCTTTTATTTACATTTACTATCTAAATGGCGACCAAAGAAAGCAGGCGGACATCTATGTTTCTTTCAGTCGTTTTTCTAATGTTGTTAGCCAGTATATACTCCGTTATCGACAAAAAGTTTCACAACCCATATCCCATACATTTTTACAGATCTCTATAGAGCACGTTGCCGTCCACTAGCTTGACTGAGTGAAAGCTGACATCACGTGCAAAGGGTCAACAGACTTGTCATACCCACGTGTCCGCAAAGAAAGAAGTAGCTCAATCGACCTCAAGCAGACATAACTGGAAACTAACCCCTAAAATCAACATTATTCAGTAACTCGTACTAGAGGTGAGTTTTCAGTGACCGCTAAAACTCAAGGTGATGTTAAATAAAGTGTCTGGCTTTGTTTGCTTGACCCCTGGTCATAATCAGTTTGTGTTCATCTCTGGTCAGTAATAATAGCTTACCACTGCCGAGAGAAGAAAAAAAACATAAATATGGACTGAAAACAATGCGCTGTCCGTCAATACTGTTTTTAAAAACCCTATAGGCATGCATCGTAATTTTAACCGAGGATTACATTAACATTCAGGCCATGAAACAACTGCAAATAAGTTTAATGTTAAACAAATAAAGGGATATACGCCTGTTAAAAACTGTAGAAAACTATTCATGTAGCAGTCTGCGAGGTCAGTAAACATGGTCAGTGTACATTAGGGACTAAGTTTTAAGAGTACATTTAAAAATGAACAAACTTTGTGATTAATACTATATATAGTTTTTTTGAGTGTACCGAGAACAGCTATTTATGCATGGGTTAGTGACTACTCTCAGCGCTATGGAATTAAAGATCTACAAACTTTCATGAGTAAAAAACTACTTAATCAGCCTTACCTTGTTATCACAGTGCTGTGCCAGTGACCGCTACTGGACACTGCATTCGGACACCACGGCGTACCCCTGCTTTATCGTGTGGTGTAGAATGACCTGCGATGTCTGCGGCTGTGTTCAGACTGGTTATATTTGGACCGGATCTCTCCCGATTTAGGGCCGATGCAATGGATTTATTCTGTGTGCTTAGGTTGTGGGGTCCGATGGGAGGGGGGGGGGGAGGTAGCCACCACTTTTCCTACCACGTCAATTACAAGCGCAGAAAAGCAGGGGGATAATGGGAAATCCACCCCTTCTTATAAGAAATTTAAAAACTTTCCTTTCTACGCGCCTGATGTTTTCACTGTTGATTGCTGTCTAAACCGATGAGTCAACGTTGGTGGATAGCAGTATAGTTGATACAATTTTGTTGATTGCAGTCATTGAGGCTCATTTCTTGACCTTTCTTTGAACCCGCAATATATCATCTTTTCGATGTACAGTACCGCTACACGTAAGTGCATAACATTTTTAAAGGCTCTTTATAGCTATAACTGCTTCCAACTGGAGCTAAAATTCTTCAAAATTCAGAGCAATGTGAACATATCCTGCGCACACAAAACCCCGTCGAGTTGACCCTGCTGTGGCCCATAACGGGGACTCTCCAATAACACACGTTTCGATTGCCGGGTCTTCAACTATTACGAAACGCCGAAAATTTAAATTTAAAAAGTGTCAAAAGTTACTGGCCCTGAACCACGTGGAGAGAAGTGGACAAAAGACTGCCCAAGATAAGGTATCAAATGAAGGTCATCAATAAAACTTGAAAAACTAACACGCGCGTGCTTTACGGGTGGTTTTACAAGTACATTGGAGCGGAGACAACAAAACAGGTCGCCCTTTGGGCCTTCAACAAAGTTCACTGTATGGTAAATCGCTCACATTTTCTGGTTGTGTGATTAGGCGATATACTTTGTCTCATTCTCTGGAGATCCTGCGATTGTCTTTTGTGCGTGCTTAGCAGGAAGGGTCGCCAAAGTTCACGGCTTTCAAAACATTGCTTGCTGCAAATTGTGGAGTAATACATATTTATAATGGTCCAGGGGGTGCCTTCGTAATCTGTACGATGTTGGCTATGTTCCATTGCTTTTTAGTAAAACTTGATTGTGAAATCAGTAGAGTTCAATACATTAACTCAAAATCAATACGGCGCTTTGTGTACTAAATGCAAATGGTGCGTCTTTAACGAGAGAGAGAGAGAGAGAGAGAGAGAGAGAGAGAGAGAGAGATTAGACAACCTCGCACAGGTAAAATGATAAATGATTGGTTTTCCAAAAAGCGATTTGGCATTTACAATATAAAAGGTATTATATGGTATTGCATGTCAACTTTCGCCATCTTATCTATCTTACCTTTAGAATCAAACAACGATACACGCACAGTTTTCTGTTTTCATTCGAAATGTATATCTCCTTTGTTTGGAATTGTATTACACTTCTTTTGCGAAATTTGCTCACAATTATCCTCTCTCTCTCTCTCTCACACACACACACACACACACACACACACACACACAGAGAGTGTAACTCTAAGTCTTTTTACCTCAATTATTTAATATCCATTTAATTTCTACATCAATAATTTAATGTCCTTTTAATTTCTACATCAATATTAACAATTTAGTCTCGGCCAGTAGAGAGCTAACGAACCCCCATGACACTGCATAAACTGCATTAACGAATGTGGAGGACTCCGTTGCCACCTTAACTGAAAGCACATTTAAAAATAAGAAAGTTTAATAAAATGATTGTAATTTTTTAATCGACGTTCTCGTCGCGTTTTGAAAATGTGCACCCTGACAGTAGTGCGAGGCTGCCACCAATTTTCGTTTATTTGTAAAATTTTAAAAGAAAAAAATCTTTAAAGGCTACTTTTCCAAGTAAAACAGTAAAAAAAAAAAACCTTGCAAAATATTCAGCAACAACCAGCTATGTGAACAGAATCTTACAGAAGCCGAACTGATCGTATCGCTTCGGCAATTTTCGGCTCTTTGCATGAACCTGTCGTTTATCTCCACACCCTTGAACTCCAAGGGCGATTTGCAGTGGCCAAGAATGAGCGCCTTCTTTGTTATTTTCGACAGTTCTGACAGTTGTGCGTGTAAACTACAGTCACAGTGGAGAGGGTTCTCTCTCAGGTCAACCCTTTCAAAAATCACTGGATCCACCCAAGTTGTTTCATTTATGAGATTTCCGTTTAGATCCAACACCACGTTGCCTTGGTGGGTTGTGAAGGTTGTGAATGCGTCCGGCGCAACAGATGCAATCTGCATTCCTGCTAATCTGACTTCTCTCACATCCAGTCCCTGTAATGTAATGTTGTCAATCTCCGTGAACGCATTGAAGGAAGCATCAATCTTTTCAAGTTTTGTCAAGTTCTTGAGAGAATCCATTGGCATCTTTGTAAGTTCTAATTTTGAAATATCCAAATATTTCAAACAACTCTCTAGCCCTATGAATTGCCCAGTTGTTATTCCCAATCGATTTCCTCCTAATCGCAACTCGCGAAGATTCTTAAGGGGCATGAACAACCCGGGCTCTAACCACTCGATGTTGTTTTCTGATAAATCAAGGAGTTGTAATTCACCGAGAGGCGAAAGTACACTAGGCGGTAAATACGAGATGTGACAGTGCCGGACGAAAAATCGCTTTAGAGTCTGATTCACGCCTGCAAAGCAACCGACTGAAAACGCATTGACATGCTGTAACCAGTTATTGCTCAAATCCAGCTCCTCGAGGCTGACCAAGTTCTGAAACGCGTCTCTGGAAATTCCCAACAGAAAGTTGTCCGCCAGTGACAGCGCTTTGAGGTTGTTTAAAATTCCTAATGCTTCTTCTGGCACGTACCTGAACGTGTTTGCCGCTAAGTTTAAGTGCTTTAATTGCCCGAGCCCGGAAAATGCTCTTGAGTCAAGTGATTGAATTGAGCATCCTGATATATCAAGTTTTTCCAGAAAATTGAGCCCTTGGAAGGCATTGGCCTGTATACGCGGAGAACCAGTTATGGTTTGGAAATTCCCCTTCAGTATCAGTTGCCTTAAACTCGAGAGTTTGCTGAGAAATGGCCAAGGCAAGGTCTCAAGGTCGAAACGGTTCCTCGACAGGTCTAATGACGTTAGGTTCTCCCGGACGTAACGAAACACCGAGCCAGCCAAATTGGTCTCAAAGAGCTGGTTGTTGCTAAAGTTGAGAGCTAACAGCGGAGTTTTGCGGAACGGGTAAAAATCCTCCTCGTCCAGAAATCTGAGTTTGTTCCCCCCTAGGAGTATAGCCCTCACGGGTAGATATTTGGATTGGTTCGTAAACAATGGAAATTTTGTTAACCCTTGTGATGCACAGTCAAATATCGTTGTCTTCGTATCCCTGTTAATAGGACACTCACAGGGGGCAGGTGCCAGGCAGTCTTGACCACTGGCTATCGTGTAGGTCAACAGATACGCCAAACTGGACATAAATGGCCATAGGCTTTGTGACACGGTCATTTTTCGCCGAATCATTTCTGAACTGGGATGGCTTCTGAAACAATCTGAAATAGTGAAAAAAAATCAAGTCATTTTATCTGTTTTTGACAGGTCCCGTTTCAGTTATTTCAAGCATGATTACGTCAAACAAATGGGCTAACGCACAAAATCCACGTCTGAACCGCAGGGTGCGGCAAATTGCCGACGAAAATCCCATCTGCCCGTTAAAATCGAACACGCGGTAGCAAATGTGTGATGTTTTGAAGTTGCGCAACCCATTTCAGTTAGCATCTGTCGTAGGTACACAAGGTGATGATATAAAAGATTCATCACATGGTTCAGGATTCAACCGAGCGCTTGATTTACAGCGGATTTACTTGTTTGCAGTTAATTCCAATTTCAATCACAGACGACAAGAATTGAGTTCTTCTTTTTTTTTTAAATATTTTGACGTCTGTCAATACATATGTTGGATTTTTATTACATTTACACATGAACTCACACTCAACGTGCAGTGTGATTTAGTGACACAGTGGCCTATGATTTTAGATATTTGTTTTTTAGTCAGAAGATAATAAAAGAATAATTACATCTTAAAGAAATTAATTGTTTTGAACAAAATTGCACTGACTATAATTAAGAAAGGCTATCAATCAGTTGCGGCTATCTAACCACTGGCTGAAGAGATTTCTTTAGTGGGTTGCGATAGCTCTATACTAAAAGCTAGCGTAGTGATGACCATTCCATACGAAAATTCTCGCTGAACATACCTTCCAATTCAACTGACTTCATATTTTCCAGTTTCTTCATATCTTGTGCGTACTCACACCCGATCAAAATTCTGTGCGAATAACAATCTCAATGTGTGACTTTTGTATCAGCGCTTTTTTTATCGTTTTGATTTTTTTTCAAAAAAAAAATTATGAATAAGCTGGATTTTTTTCAACACAGACACGGCAATTAATCTGATTCTTCTCTGTCTTAATTTCAGCCAACAGAGCCTAAAATATATTTCAAATATTGGACGTCACGTAGCCTGTTTGAATTACAACCCTTGTTATTGAAGAATACATGCATATATACACTTTAAGTCATCCGTAAACTAGGATTACAGGTAAACCTTACTTTGAGGTCTAGTTGTCTTAAAAGATCAAAAACATCTACGTGTCAAAGAGGAATTCTGCTCCAGCTTCTTTGAAATTTATTCATTCGGAAAATACCACTTAAATCAGCCCAGCGTCGGGGTTTAAATCAAGGGGTTGATTTCCCCCGGTTAATGAAGAGGGTAATTCTTCAGTAAAGGTGCACATGCGGAAATAAACCATTAATATGGCAAGTAGTGGCTTTGGTAGCTCTGTAAGTAGCCGCATTGAGATGATACTTTACCGGGACAAGATACTTTGTTTCTGATTAAAAATCTAGTTTCTAAATCACCTGTGTACTCCGAGTTATAGCCTAATGTTGGTTTAAGTTGGTCGGTTTCCTCTTTATCACACATTGGAAACTGCCTCCACTATATTGCATTCAGTATGCTTATTGTAGTTTATTTTATAATTCTGACCCTTAACTAATAAATCTATCAGTCAGGTCTATAGGCTTAGCTATGTCCCATATTTCAAAATGCCAAAGTTTAGAATTTTAAAACTCTCAATAGAATATTAAATTAGGTAACCATTCACTAAAGTATTCTCTCAATCCTTCACAGGTTAAGGTGGCGCTGTGAGTGTGAGTCTTTTCTGAAGTGTAATGGCCAAGCGTGGTTTACCTGTCCCGCTGCATGAAAATTCAACTCAAACCCAACCAGAATAGTTACTCGTCTGAAATCTGGAAAAAGTCGAAATAAACTAAAAGATATATCTAAACACTGACTGTGCGCTCATCGGCCGACTTGCATAAGATTTATCAATAACGCCGTTTGTGAGAGTTGTGAATTATCAAGATTGTAGCAGCCACTCCATCTAAAACTGTGTATTTTCAAATGGGATGCCGTAGATATAATCAAGAATGGCAATACCTGCTTGATATAATGAATGAGTTTGTAACCATACCGTATATACCTTGAAATGTGTAAGATTTTGAATCCCCCCTAGACCGATCATATTTTAGATTCCCCCTCCTCACATAACTGAAAGCGGAAGACTTCTGTGAATGCAGCAACTACGTGTACCCTCTGTCCTGTGATAAAATAAGAATATAAAATAAGAACATAAAAAAATCGATATTCAGGTTGTTAAATTTATAGTTTCATGATTGAGCCAAATCTTGCTTGACCCCGAGACATTTCATGAGGATTTTTTTCTCCCGCATGTTGCATCACAATAATAAATTCAATCCAGAGCCCAGAACAAACACGTTCGTTATTCTATATTTTTATCCCAGGTTACCAAACATTTGAATTGAATTGAATTGAAAAGTTTGTTGCATATATTTTTTGTGAATTATGTTAGAAAAAAAATGCTCATATCAACTTTGAGATATTTAGCAAAGATCCATTACCGGCAATTTAAAGGCCCAGACAGTGTGTAGTAGTTGACTGTGTAACAGAATTAAATAAATAAATAAATAATGAACGAATAAATGAATACCTAAAACAAAAAAGAAGAAAAACATCTATTCATTATGTTATATTTTGGCTGAGTTATAGATATACAGGATCAGAAAAGTTATTATAAACATAGACTGACGTTTGCCTACTCGAAAAATAGAAGGATGCAGACTCTTGACTGTTCACGAAATAGAAATATATAAATGGCCAGTATAACGATCAACCGTTTGTTTTTACTCCTGCATAACAACCATCGCCAAGGTTTAGTCTACCTTCTTCAAAGACTTCTCGCTCGCAACCCCTTGTTTATTGTGCTAAGCGAGTGCGCCACGGGGTCGAGATTATTTATGAACTTCCGAGATTATTTCCCCGCCCGAATTGTGTCTAATCAATATAGCACGTGTTTCTGGACAGTTAAGGGGCAGCTTCAAAAATATCATCAAGGTACTGGATAGTTGTTCCTTCAGGGTAAGGCTGTGTCTTTAATCCTTAATGCTTTTAGTGTAAATGTTTGATTGAAATGTGTATGATAGATCCGTTGCTTGAAGATTATTTGTGCTTTTAAGTCCCCTCCCCTCTCATATAAAAGTACTGAAACAAAATTTGTTTGGAAAAAAATTAATGGCAAAACCCTAGGCTATGTCCAATAAATCTCATTTTGTTTTCAAAATAAAGTTCTTCGTCTCTTATGTCACATTTTTTTACTTCTCTAAATATTCAATTATAATGATGGAAGACTGAATTTTAATTCAATAAATAAGATGCTATGCTTTAAGTTAGTTTTAAGTCCCAATCAGTAATGTGTATTTTGTTACTAAAACCTTTCTTTTTAGTCAGGTCTAATCATCGGATATTTTCCAGCCTTC